TATTGTACATATCCAAATCCCAGTTCAACAATCAACAAATAAAAGCTTCTTCCAACATCTGATGAGATAAATGAAGCTGGTTCGTTGCCTGACCTGGACATAGTTTAATTACCGTAATGCCCTTTGAAAAGTTTGTTCAACGACCAAGTGCAGCATGGCAGCCGGCCGAACCCCGCACTTTTAAGACCACGTTTTAACGTCCGAGTGTTCACAGGTATATATTCACCAATTTTGAATTTTATCGTATTTTCAGCTTTAACTTTGTAATTGTCCATGCATTCTAGACACTTTTTTTCCCCATAATAATTGATCTGAATCTATATTTTGGAGGGTGTTTGGCAACCTTTAAACTATAGTTTCAGAAGTATTTTTTTACAAAACGAAACAAATTTCTTCACATATTTACTTCGTAAACCATAAAAATACTTTTGAAACCATGATTTGGTTTTTATCCAAATACCTCCTTATTTCTGTTCTCCGTCTATATAGCATTCCTAGACTCGTCAGTGGGGTATCCGTCTTTTTTCTTTGCTTTTTTTGGCCAGCATTGGGTAGTAATCATAAGCCAGAGTTTTTTTTTGAAGAAAATAATAATAATGATAATAAAGAACAAGCACGTCGCCAGGAAGGTTGATGCATTCATTATTTTGACTGTCACGTTTCTGGAAGCCTTTTTTTTTGGGGGGTAGATTTACGTCAAATTCAGTTATATGTTGCTGAATTGACTTTAGTCTAAAGTATAAGCAAGGCCTGAGTTTTAGTTTCTTTTCCTTTTGTTGGCAACAAACAAAAAATAGTTCCTTTTCCTTTTCCTTTTTTTTTCTTGGTTGGAACATTTTCTTCTTCTGTGTTTAATTTGCATGAATTTCCTTTAATCACAACACGTGCCTCGCTATTTCTATTATGATTCCCTAGTGTTTTGAACATTTATCCAGCTAAGACAGCATGAAAACATTTATGAGAGGATAACTTTTATATATATATATATATATTCCCCGTAACTGTTATAAATTTTATGAGGATGTACTCCCTCTGTCCCTTATTATAAAATCTTTTGAACTAAATTGTACGATTTAAGAAAGCAGTTAAAATGAATTAAAAACGATTAATATATAGCAAATGTAATTTTTTTTCAAACATACCCCTATCTATAAATAGGTAAATATGAGAGAGTAATGATAAGATAGATGAAGAAAGATAATGTATTAAACGTATTAAATTATAGATAAAATAGGTAATAGTACATTAAATACTTAGACAAACTCAAAGAGAATCTTATAAAAAAGACAAACCCATTTAAAAAATCAAATCTTATAATAAGGGACGGGAGAAGTATACGACTACTATCTTGTTTAGTACTACTATTTATTTTTATTTGGGGTTGTTCAGAGACAGCAAAAGACAGTGGCATTATTAATTAAACGCAGACACAGCAAACACACACTATGAAGTCCTTCTCTCATGATGTTTTGAGATAAGATATTAACTTTTTTCTGAGTCAATTCATTGTTTCTGGTCAAGATTTAGTTTCCCCATTTCGTTTTGTTTTCTTAGGTCACAAGACACGTCCGATTCATCAAGTGGTGGTTGGCGAGTACAAGGGATCCCTCTTATTTTTGATGCGGCCGGCATATTTGGACTTCGGGGGTTCACACTGGTCAAAGGTAATAACTAATTTTAGTTTACTATGTAGAGACGAATGAGAATTTTAGAATTATTCATCCGCGTCGCAACCTGCCTTGCAAATTCTGCACGTGCAGTCTTCAAAGATATCTTTAAAATTCTATACATTTTTTTTGGGATAATCCTCAAAAAAATTCCTCTAAAATTTGAAAATTCTAAACGAGAAATGATTAAAAATATGTTATTATTTACTTTTTAAATATTGTCAACTGTTATTAAAGTGTGACGAACAAGACTGATTTAAAATTTTAGAATTTAAATGTGTTTTTTTGGGATTCTTTCTTTTCTTTTTTTGTTTTAAAAATCTTGACAGGTTTATAGGTTCATACGCGTGAATTCTTGTGTCAAAAACATTACCCACTTTGATTTTAAATATGAAAACTAGTTGAGTAATTGATTTTGATTTTTAAATATAATATTTTAATTTATTTTATTTCAAAAAATTATAAGTTTTTGGATATATTATCATAATTGTCTGCACATGTCAAGAGCAGATTTTAACTAATTGTCAATATTTTTAATGCGAATGACTAAATAAATATTTTAGAAAAAATTGTACTTCATACACGCAGTGTAAAAGTATGTTTTTTTAATGCACACATGTTCTGGCTGATTGAATCCAATCTCTTAATATATTTTACTATAAAAACGGGGAATAAAAAGACACAGTTCCATTAGAGAAGATGTCATGCGGACAAGAGAGAACTTGTAAACTATATCAGGTCATGGATTATTAGTTATAAATACATATTTCATTTCACTTAAATTATATTTTTTAAATAAAATCAACTAATTCAAGTACGTGTTGTTTTAACTGAAGATATTTTAATGAAAAGTATGGAAATAAAAATGTACATAATTTTATTAAAAATTAAAAAAGTAATATATAATTGCCCGTGGATGGGGGGGGGGGAAGCTAGTTAGTGTCACTGTCACTAGCCTCTGCCCTTGGAGCTGGGGACATACGAATGAGACAATATAGGACGGGGCAAAAGGGTATTTTGGAGAAAGTACGATTTTAAGCTTAACGGGAAAAAAAGAAGGTGAAAAAGAAAGAAAAACAGAGAGAGGGGGGGCCGAAAAGCAACGCCGCTAAATTTAATTGGAGGATGCATGAATGATGAGGGTTGACCAGTCAAACTCTCACCATATTTGACTTGCCCTCTCAAAACGACTACTCTGCTTTTTTTTTTTTTAATATATATATTTTAATATTTATTTTTGTCATCATTCCCACCTGGTTGCTTCATGGCCCCAAAAGCCTTAGAGTATCATAATATCCCATCACTACACACCAAACTAACTTCACGTTTTTACGTGACATTAGCATTAACAGTTAAGCCAGCATCTGATCCAATCCAAACCAGGCCATTATTTATATTACCTTCAGTATTTAATATAAAAACTAATTGATTAATTTAAGTAAATTAAAAAAATAATTAAATTAAATATTTATAATAAATAAGTATTGTCTTTTTACAAATATTCTTCTTAATCAAGTGTATTAATTAGAATTATTATTACTATAAGAACTATAATTGTGCAGAGAAATGGTAAGTGGAATGGACTTGTGAGTTGGAGTAAAAAAGAGCCAATGTAACATCTTCTCACAACCGTTTGCGCATTGCTTCATTGAAAAAAAAAGAAAAAAGAATCCAATTTTGCTTTTCGGTCCTTACCTGCAAATAATAACCCGTGTGTTTCTCTTGAACATCAGTTGGATTTTGGGTCAGGTATTTAGCAAGTCCCCAAAAAAAAAATTTGAACTTTTTGGTCACCAACCCAAAAATATTGAATTTAGATATAATTTCAAATTAACATGCCATTCGTATCTTCTTATTTTATATATATTTATTTATTCGTCCGTCTCTATCTTACCAAAAACTTGAGCTGTTCTGGCCCTTTCTTGTGCAGTCATTATTGAGATGATAGGATGAGCAAGAATTTTTAAGTGTTCCCAGTCAAAAATGGCATGTTTAATTTATAATTAATTGTTGACCCCAAGTTACGAATTAATATTTGAGAATCACTAAAAAATTTGACTTGGCCTGACATTTCCCCTAATAATTGAATTATCAATATTTTGTTCTGGACACCTCATTCTTAATATTCACTAACAAAGGCCAGGAAGAGGAAAACCATTCCTTTAGCCAGCCTTTACTTTTACTTCGCTCATCAAAAAACGAAGTGATGACTAGCTGCATTAGTGTAGGATAACAAGTACACGAGAGAACACAACCATTAATACTTATATAGGGCCTACTTTTTTTTGTCCCCCTTTTCCTTTTCTTTGTTTTTTTTTTTTTTAAAAGCCCTCTTGGATAAGGAACAAACTGCATATACAAATTTTTGTATAGGTCAAGTATGGCTTCTTCAGTTTTATCCGGGACTACCAATATTAAAATGCGTTGACAAAATCAACGATTGAATCTAACAGAAGAGACTAGCCTCTCACAACGTGGTGAGAGTGCCTATATTTAATGCTCGATAGTACTTTAAACATGATTGTTTTCGATAAAAAAATACATATGCTTAGTAAAAAAAAAAAAAAAAGATGCGCTGACAAAGCCCTGTATAATGGAAATTTCTTCTAACCAACAACTTGAGAATCAAGAGAGTCAAACTTGAAGGTGTATGCGTTGAATGTTCATTGAATTTAGACAGCGTCGTAGGACGAATCCCAGCTAGAATCTCCGTATAATTACCCTCAGAAGTCAGAAGATTCCCTCTTCTTTTTATTTTACCCTGGGAGGAAAACGAACGAACTCAATCATGGTTTATTACCACTTGCTCATTTCGCATGATTTAAAAACAAAACAAAAAGGTTAGATTTCAGCTCTTCATCGATGGAAAAGAAGGAAAATATTAGAAAAATGTATGAAACTTACTATAAATACTATCTCTGATCCTAATTATAAGAACTAATTAACTAATTTGACAAAATTAAAGAAATAAATTTAGTTAGTTATTTGTAATAAATATATATTGCCTTTTCTAAAATCCTTACTAATCAAATATATTAGTTAAAATTACTATTATTAAAAGGACTATCTTAAAAAATATATATATATAAATATGAGAAATAAAATGAATTAAGGACTTATATTTAAGATTAAAATAAAAGCAAACACAGTTTTATATTAAGAAACAGAAACAGTATTGTTTTTGAACTCATGGCTGAAGCTGTCCGAGGAGGAGGCCGCAGGATGAGAAAAGTTCAACCAAGGGATTGTTTAACGTCCCAGGCATGGGAATATTGTGATTTTTCACTTCTTCAAATTTACAGTTCGGTAAAATGTGCTGCTTCTCACCAGAAAAATAGGGAAAGTAACTATAATGCCTCGGAAGATGCTATTCAGACGCAAGAGTAATAATCTGATATGGCTTTACAAATCATCCCAGACGTTAGCTTTCAGGCACTTGTCTGGTATATAACAATATCCATCAATCACCATTTCACAAAGAATGCATCATTTGACTTTCCTACAGCTAAACACTAGCGCCTTTATAAGGTAAACAAAAATTCAAGGCCCCTGTGCCTCCAAATCAATCCATGAACAATTGCTATAAAGAAAACAGCTTATCACCGGCCCTTATATTTTGCAGCAGGTGAGAAGAATTTCTCGTATTACATGGAGCCATAAGTGGCTTGGCTTTTTACGACCAGCAATAATATTAACGGGATATACAGATGGTCCCCGGACAAAGCACCCGCAAGTTGCAGGTTCACGGTGGAAAGTCTACCTTGTTTTCTTGGCTAGTTTAGGATTCTTGCACATTCGGATGCTTTGGGGAGTGACCTCTACTAGTTCATCTTCTTGGATGTATTCGATGCAGTCATCCAGACTATAATCCAGTGGTGTGTCGAGAACCACTGCATGAAGGAGTAAGATTAAAAATAGCACAATTCCTGGCTCATACCTACAGACTGGAGAACTTGCGACTAGAGTTTCCTTTCTTATAAATTCTGGGCTCAAAAAAATACAAGCCTGAATCTGCCTTACAGAATTCTCTCAGCCCAAGACTTGTAAATAACCATCCTCTGAAAGGGTCTCTTCAGAAGCTAAATTGTTATAAGCGCAAGGTAAGAAGTACAGAAACCAAGACGTGTTATAACCCAAATAAATGGACTATATGAAATTTTTTTAGACTCGCTTTCTTAAATATCTGATGAAAGCTTGCTGCTACAGCTAGGGTTGTTCGGCAGTTCAGGTTCGACTTGAAGGAACTCTAGAATTGCAGTAAGCAAGGTAGCTAATAATAAAATAATCACTTTTGAAGAGATTTGGTCTCTAAGACTAGTAATTGCATCAGAACACTTCATAAGGATTTGTGTATTTCATGTGGATAGAAAATTGCAACTGCGCTAGCGCTCCTCACCTGTTTGTTCCTTGTTGGAACGAATGTTTGTTGCAGCCTTTTTCTTGCAAACATTTAAGGCCAAATCCCCAGGTCGCTGATGGATGCCGACAATTTGACCTTTGTAAACATCCACTCCAGGACCAATAAACATCTGTCCCCTCTCCTGTGAACTAGCAAGCGCATACGAAGTACTTGTTCCATCTTCAAAAGCAACCTGTAAGTCAATAATGTATAATTAATTAATGAATGGAGGAGACATTGGCGTCCTGATTTGCCTGCTATGAACTGCTCTAATGATCCAAAGGAGATGTCTGCAGCCCAAGGGATGAGGCTGAACAGTATGGGTAACATAATTAAAATTTTCTGTAGCAGTAACGAAGTTACCAGTGAGCCTTGATCCCGAGTACTGATGTCCCCAGCCCAAGGCCCATAGCTATCAAAGATAGTGTTGAGAATTGCTGTTCCACGGGAAGCTGTTAAGATAGAATTCCGCAGTCCTAAAAGGCCACGGGTTGGAATCTTATATTTGAGTAGGGTAGTTCCTTCCGATCTAGGGGGAAAAAATAAAAGTCATTATCAGAAAGATTGTTATATCAATTTCGGTGCAGATAAGGGGGGAAAGCTGTCAAAACTATCTTTTGCTCGTCTATAGCGAGTTACTAACACTAACAGAAGCCCTACAGTTGGAAAGAGGAAGCAATTAATCATTTCTCCAGCTCGGGCAGGAATCTATTGATACTATAACTATTAGTAAATGAAAATATCGCTCTGTTTTTTCATGATTATCTGGTGTTTAATGCTACAAGCTAATCCTTCATGGAAGATGTGGAAAATTATTAATCCTTTATTAACCATGGAAAGTCATTCAACAACTCAAGGCAGGTCTTGAAATATGCAGTGCTTTATCAGCCCCATAGCCAGCCATTTAACATAAACTATTTTAATACTATTTTAATTTTTTTTTTTTCATGAAAATAAACTTTTGTTCCACAACTCAAGAACCCTCTTTCAAGGAAAACCCTATTCTTTTTTAGTAGGAAGTTGTCTCATGTGCAGTTCTTGTATCCCTTCTTTCCAAACGGCCATATTGGGTGATGCTTTTAGTATTACTCATGCGCGTCTGGACATATTACCAATCAATTAATCTCCAAGTCACGCCTTAATTACTCCCATCACTTAAAAAAAATTTTTAAAAAAACTGATCTCCTGGTATTATGCCACCACACACATTAACTCGGGGCGTATGTATAATATACATTTGGACTTGGGTAGTTAACCATATCGTAATTAAAATAGAAGATAACCAATGCCACATACCCAACTCCTTCCATATCGAACATTTGTCCTCGCCTCTTGCCCAGAAGTTCAACAACAGCTCCCATATGTTCTTCTGGTACCTCCACGGTGGCAATCTGCAACCGTTTAATTACATGAAATGAGCAAAAATAATAAATATTAACCTGCCTGGTGAAAAGGAATATTCTTACTCATGGATTTTGGAACTGTACAAAAGATATAAATGACAGTTTCGGCACGTCGTAGCAAAATAAAAGTTTCACTCCTTAAAATCAGAAACTCAAATAAGGGTGAAAGTTATATGAGTTCCGATATGTTGAAATACTTCAATATCACATCATCTTAACTTGCTTGTATAATTAAGAATGTTGATTCTCAAGGCAAAATATAGTCAAATCAAAAGTAAGCCTCAGGAAAATGACAATTAGGAAGAAGCAAACAAAAAGACGATAATACTTTCTCGGATCCTTCACGTTTAGTAATGTACTTTCAGAGGACTTTTTAATCTATTTATTTACACATGAGGGTAGGATAATCTATTTATTTAGTGATCCTGTAATACTAAAATTAAAAAAATCCTGTGAAAAAAGCATTTCAATACAGCAAGAAAATTACCAGATCTCCATTTCTATGTCAAATAAGGCTATACAACGCTATCAATTATGCTTGCACCTCCTCATATGGCTATTTAAGTCTTCAAAACAAAAATAAAAGGCATCGCTTGCAAAGTCACCTCATATGGTTCCTGCAGTTGGTCACCCACTTTCTTGTTTATAACTTTGGGAGGACCTACCATGAATTCATATCCTTCTCTTCGCCTGCAAATGCCAATTTTTTTTTTCGGGGACAAAGTAAATGCCATATTAGGAACAGAGCCCCCCAAAAAAAAAAGTGAAACAATTATCATTAAAACTTTGCAATTCAGGACTTGTTAATTTTCTGCTCAGCCTCATTTATCGCATCACTTTTTAGCATCAAAGAGCTCATTTATTTCCCAATTTATTTTCTTTTTATATGATTGTAATCAGACCTTAAAATATGTTTTCTCATGCATTTATTTCTTCATTTTTATTGTATTGTAGTTGTTGTCCGATCTGGTCAACTACTGCAGATTGTCAACACTTCTCCCTGCCTCTGTTTTTGAGATCCTAAGATTTCACTGCCTTAATGGTGGCTTTATTTAAGAGGCTGAACGGCAGGGATGTTGCCATCTGCTTCCTTATGTAATTTCATTTTCACCTCATGCCGTGATTAAAGTAAGAAATTTTAAAGGTCATTATTTGTTGAATTTCTTCACTCATACTTACATATTTTCTATGAGTATGGTTATGTGCAAAGTACCACGACCACTGACAATAAAGGTATCTGCTGTTTCACCATCTTCAACTCTCATGGCCAAATTTCGCTCTAGCTCACGAGAGAGTCTGTCCCTTAAATTCCTACTAGTAACATACTTTCCCTGGAAAGTTGTAAAGAAACTCAAGTAAGTAGAGCCAAATCAACAGAAGAAACTATCTATTTAACTATTACCTAACTGCTAAACAGAAATTCCAATAATGCCAAAGCAGCTATGCTAGCTAAACGAAATCAGTTATAAAAATTATGGCCTAAAAGGCAGCACCAGGACATTCATATAGAATAGATGCAGATCAAGATTGTCCCATGTAACATATAATCACAGTGAACAGACATACCTCCCGCCCAACAAAAGGTGAAGTGTTTATAGAAAAAGACATTTTCACTGTAGGTTCTTCCACCCTGATGGATGGCAGTGGCTTCCCTGATACTTTGTCAGCAATTGTTTCCCCAATCTGATTAAAGAATTAAAATAGTTAAAAAGACTACACATATGTAACATGAATTCCATCCTAAACCATAAAACATCAGCCGGTACCTGAATATCAGCAATTCCACATACAGCACATATATCACCAGCCTCCACACGTGCTGCAGGGACCCTACTGAATTTGTCATACACAAAAAGCTCACTGATTCTTCCATATCTGCATGAATCCTCAGTAGTACATACCTGGATAAAAGAAATCTATTATTTCATTTCAAAAGAAAACGACATGCATATTCACTTGAAAACTAAGCCTCAGTAATCTCAAATGTCTCCCAAACAAAAAGCGCACATGCGCGCAGACGATAAGTTATTGATAACAAGGCTCAATTTCACTTATTATCTGTCAAATTTCAAGACTCAGTATTGTAAGCATAAGATAAAGGTGAAGTATGTCGGGGAGGAGATTAGAAGTAGGAAAACAGAGGATAGAAGTAAAGGCCATTATCTCACCCTGACGTCCATGCCCTTTTCTAATACTCCAGCTTGCAAGCGTCCAATTGCTATGCGCCCTTTATGTTCATCATACTCAATATTTGTAGCCTGGATAGAAGCACAAAGTGCAGGAGTAGGGATTAGATCTTTAGACACATAAATTAACAAATATGCACGACTATAGTCCTTAAATAAGTTCATTCTGTATTATCAAGCACAGGTGCTTGTTACTGATCTTCCTCTTTATATCCTCTCTTCATTTCCCTTGAGGTGGTAAGGTAATGGGAATAGAAGTTCACTAAACATCCTCAAATATTTAAAAATAACTGGGAAAAAAAAATGCCATTCGGTTCACTATATAGATTGAACTGGGATGATTCACACAGAAGCTGAGAAAGTTAAAATAGATCATATGACTCCACATCTAATAGTTTTCGTATCTGAACATGGCCAATCAATAACTACTCATATTTATTCAGCTTTTGATACTGGCAAATCTGGCGTTAACCTTTCTATGGTTAAGAAAAGATCAGAAAAAGACAAGCCATTAGCAATTGATCCATCGTTCAGCAATTTCACATCACGGAGCTCAGCACAGGAAATAGTGAGCTATACAGATAAAATCATCTAGGTAACAGAAAAGTGATATAATAAACTAATAATCACTAACAAGCATTTGCAGTGCACCATCTTTTTCAATATGTGGTCCAGGGATGCATCTGATTATAGCTTCAAATAATGGGCCAAGATCTTCAGCCAATTTTTCAGGAGATAGTCCTGCTTGTCCCTTTATACCACTAGCGTATATTGTTTGGAAGTCACACTGCACACAAAAAAGGGCAAAACTCTCACATTATTATTTACAGAATCTGGACACTATTTAGACCATTTTGACAATATAAACCACAGAAGTTATTTGACAAATCACAAGCGACAACATCCCAAACCTAGAATGGAAAGCAAGAGTTTTAAGTCCGAAGTTTCTTCCATCACATCTTATTTGGGAGAGAAATAATTTTGTGGCTTCTTTGTGGACCTCAACAATTTTACAAAGGTTTGCAATGCTCTTCTCAGCTACTGTGTTTTTCTCCCTCCGGATTAGGGAGGTTTACCTGACCTCATTGTTCTCTTCTCATCAATAAAAAGAAAATTTCAACCTCATTTCTTTTTGGTGAAAAAATTCCAACCTAATTTCTGCAGTACGGGAAAGTTAGACTACCGTTATTTTAAATAAATAACCAATTTACCTGTTCATCTGATGCATTTAGTTCAAGAAACAGTTCAAAAGTAGAATTGATGACGAAGTCCGGCCGAGCAGAAGGTCTATCAATTTTATTGACAACGACGACAACTGCATGCCCAAACTCTAGGGCCTTCTTTAAAACAAATCTGGTCTGTGGCATTGGACCTTCAACAGAGTCTACCTACAGAAATAGAGAAGCAATTTGAATTTAAAAGTCAGATGTTACTGCCTAGTACAAGAAGTCACATTTAAGGGAAAAGTACCAAACACTTGTAGGAAGCATAGCATCTCTTTAAATAGAGTAAACCACTCCAAAAATCTTCCATAAAATGATATATTTATGTAGTATGAGTGCTTAATCAGAATAAAAAGGAGAAGAATTAATTAATTTCTTTTATTTGTAAATTCAAGCCATTGTTGACAGTGCTGCTGTAAGTCAAGATGAATAAGAGAACATGCAAATTTTGCATATAGAAAGTATGGTGAAATTCCCTTCCAAGTACTAAGGCTTCTTCTTTTCTTTTCTTTTTTTTTTTTTAATGAAGACACTAACGTTCTTTAAAGTATGCATCTTTTTTAAATTGAAAACCAATGCGTATAAGAAACCAGTGTTGTGGAAGATAAGGCCCATCCCAGAAAAATAAGCAAGATAGGTAACTGGAATATTTTTGAATGGTAACAACCACCCACTCTTTAGAATGAAAAAAAAGGGATAAGAAAAGAGTGGTGAAAACCATTTTTCATAGGTGACTAATGCAACAAGTAGCTAAGAACCAGCAACTGTCAATATCATTCATCATGATCGACCAGAAAGATAGGAAATACGACAATAGAGCAGTACCACTAAAAGGATTCCTTCCACCATATTTAGAATGCGCTCCACTTCACCTCCAAAGTCAGAGTGACCTGGAGTATCTATTATATTAATCTTGGTGTCTTTATAGGTGACAGATGTATTTTTACTTAGTATTGTAATTCCTCTTTCACGCTCCAAATCATTTGAATCCATAATTCTTTCCTGTACAAACTGATTATCACGAAATACCTGCACCAGAGATCAACATGAACAAACCAGTCACACCTCACTCCTTTCAAACAGATGAAGGAAAGATAGTAAGAATTCATTATTTGATTTTGCCATGGCAGCTCTAAACAGTTGAAAAAGTCTTGAGCACCTACCAAATCATATTTCATTTAAGTAACCAATAGAAATGTGGGGGAAGACGTCTTAAAAGTACTTCCAATTCTATTTGCGTATCTCAATTTTAAGCACCAGGTCAGAGAAGAGCAAACCAAGACATTTGATTAGTGTTTAGCAAAGCTAATCATTTAATGAGGATATTGGATCCCAAGTGAAATGCATTTACTTATGCAAATATTTTTGGCGTTACCTTTGTTTGTTTCAGCATCGCATCAACCAAAGTTGTTTTTCCGTGATCAACATGAGCCACAATTGCTATGTTTCTTATGTCTCTTCTTCTCTCCAGCTGTTTCTTCTTCTCTAAGGTGGGAAGCAAGAACGCATTAAAAATCTCAAGATGCATCTACAATGGCGGAGGAAATGTAGAGCAACGGGCAATATTTAACTTCGTAAGAGACGCAGAAAGAAACGTGATGGTAAGTCTAAATATCCAATACAGCGAAGATAAATCTATAAATGTATGGAACATGTACACGCATAGAATATTATAACGAGAATCCCCTCGGGGTCCCCAAAAGGAAAATCATGTTAGGGAACGAAAGACAGCTAATATATATATAACTGAAGGACGACCATTCCATTCTTATCATTTTTCCAGATAAGATTCCTTTGCCGCGTACAAGAATTGGAACTAATATACCCTTTACTTATGCAAGACATACTTTACATCAAATTCAAAGCTAAAAACGATAAAGTAAGAGAGTGAGTCACCAGTCTTGGGTTCTGTAGCTTCAGAAACGGAGCATTTGATAGGCCCGTGTGTAGAGTTCCTGGAAACAAATTGCAGAGGCAGTTTGGTGGGCGGTGAGGAAGAAAAGCGAAGGCCAAATAGTGGGTTAGCAAACATAAGAGGAGAAGAGGTCCTTCGAAGGCTAGAAGGACTAGCCATGGAGAAGGAAAATGAAACTCTGTGCGTACTGAGAGCCATTTCCATCGCTATCTCACTCTCTCGAGGCGCAGAAAAGAGTCTCGGGAGGCCGTGAGAAAGGATTTGGTAATGAGTCTGCTATCGCAAGGGATTGCCACTTCAGAGGCCGCTAATGATCAATGCTACACATATTTCGTGGCACACGATAATGCGCGGCTAAATCCCGGCAAAAAAAAAAACAAACAGATGAAAAAGATAATGTGCGGCTAAATGGTTTTCCGGCTTTCCGCTTCCCCTACGCTCAGTGAATTTGACGGCCTATTCTGGTCCACGTCGTCGTGCGGTGCTCACTAGTAATACATTTGGATAAATCGAGGGAAACTAAAAGTGTGTTTGGGGAGAGAAGGGAAAGGGAAAAAAATTTAATGAGTTTATTTTAAAAAAATTAAAAAAATAAGGTTATAAAATTTTGATAATGAAAAAAGTGTAAGATAAAAAATAATTAAAATTAATCAAAAATTTTAACTCAATTTTTTAATTTTTTAAAACGGCCTTGTTAAAATTTTCTGTCTCCTCTCATTTTCTCAATTTCCTTCATACCAAACAGACCGAAAAATATGTTCTTTATTCTTGATGACAAACAATATATGTGCATGCGTGTGTATACTGGAGCTAAGGGTGGAAACAGGCCAGGTTAGGCTTTGCTCTTAACAGGCCAGGCCTGTTTTGGAGTCTATTGGCCTGAGCCTGGCCTGTGGCCTGTTACAGGCTTATTTTTCAGCCTGAGCCTGGCCTGTATAAAGGCTTGGCTTGGCCTGAAGCCTGTTAAAAAGCCTGTATTTTTAAAAAATTCAAATTATAATAATTAATTTTTTTTAAAAAGCTAAGATAAAAAAAACGTACATAATAATTTAATTTTTAGTCTTGTCTTTTATTTAAATTTTAGTATCATAAGTACTATTTTAAATGTTAATTATAATTTATAAGAATATTATTGAAAACTAATTGTAATTATATGTTAAAATTTGGAATAAGACTACGTTTAAGTACACACAAAAAATTAAAATTAAGACAAATAAATAAAGAGGAAAAAATACTAATTTTATAATGAATAAAGAGGGTATCATACTTAAATTAACATAACACGTAAGTAGGTTAATTTATCATTCTTGGAACAAAATTTTTCTTTCCTATTTTCTTTATATTTTTAAGATTTAAAAATCACATTATTTATTGATATTATTATTTTAAATTATATTTTTATCTTCACTTGTCATCTAAACTTCAAAATCTAAGAAAAGATTAAGCTATTAACTATATATTAAAATTAAAAAATAAATTAAAAGAGTACATTAACAATAATAGCATTAATTAATTTTTTCATACATTATGATTATAAATTCCTGACAGGCCCAGGCCGGCCTAATAGGCTTAACAGGCTTTTTAAAAAGCCTAAGCCTGGCCTGTTTAACTAAACAGGCCTTCAAACAAGCTTGAGCCTGTCTTTTGTGGGAAACAGGCCAGGCCAAGCCAGGCCAAATGCAGGCCAGGCCATAGGCCCCTGACAGGCTGCCTGGCCTGTTTCCAACCCTAGCTGGAGCTTTCGGTAAAAATATATACACACACACAAACTCTCACACACACTCACACGCATTTCGTCGGGAGGACAAACAAAGCGGAATAGAATATTTTTCTTCAACTGAAAGTTCGTGGTATCTTCTTTTGAAAAAATAGACCACACTTAAACTGTAGTAGTATGTGAAAATACAAGAATCTAAATCATAATTGGTGCGAGATTTTATTTAAAGAACACATTTGGTTTTCCGGATATCAATGAAAGCATGTATAGGTTTCAGCTTTCAAGAATGAACCTCCTGGCAAAAATTAAAAAAATAATAATAATAAACAAAGGAAAGAAAAGTAAAAATCCTTAGTGGGGAGACGGTGGCCTGCCTTGTCTGCTGTACGTCTCTCCCCCAAATGATTGTCCATAATTCTCTCTTTTTGTTAGCCCATAATACCCAAAAAAAACGACCCACTGGAAGAGCCCAATTAGAATAGTCCCAAATAAATGTTCGGACATGTTCTTTTTCAACTCGACGTGAGATGAAGCGCAGGTCCAGTGGTAGAAAGATTGTTCCATGCACCCGAATATTCCTGGCCTAGTGGTGACTGGTTAGGCCACAAGTGAGGCGAGTCTCTGCTCTTTAAGGGCGGGAGTTCGAATCCTCACTTGTTAAAAAGGGTACCGGGGAGGGCTTTACTTGTCGCCCGGCCCGAATCCGGACTAGTCGATCGCTCGGGTACAACTGGCCCAAAAAGGCTGGGGCCCAAAAAAGGCGCGGTTGGATACCGGATGGTTTATATAAAAAAAAAAAAAGATTGTTCCATGCGCTCACTCCCGCCACCCTGCTTCCTCCTCCTTCTGGTGATTTACAGGTTCTTCTGATCAAATCTCAATCGAGGCGAAAGATCTAATGCTGGACTCGGGCAATTCATGGATCTTTAATTAAATCTGATTGTGAAGATGACCTGCTTGTCCACAACAATCTGGTAAATGTTTACTCAAAATTCAATAAAATGGCCGATGCAGAGTGGGTGTTTGATCTTTTCTTTTTTTGGCCAACGGGTGTTTGATCGAATTCTTGTTAGGAGCACAATTTCTTTGACTACTCTGATGAGGGGATATTTGAAGAATGGTGATTTCGAATCTGTTTTTCATATTGGGCGTCATATGTATAAGCTTGGAGAGAAGTTCAATGAGCACACTTGCTCAGTAGTCCTACAGGCATGTAATTCCCGTGAAGATCATAATCATGGGGAGCAAGTTCATGCTTTTATCATAAAAAATAGGCTGGAGGAGAACGTTGTGGTAGCCACTCCTTTGGTTTCCATGTACTCAAAAAGTGGCCGCTTGGAAAATGCAGAAAAGATGTTCGATAGCATATCCGTTAAAGATGTTCAATGCATAAATTTTAGGACTCTGAGATATGGCAAAGCAGGTTCTGGGAACAAGGCATTTAGGCCTTTGTGGATCTGCTAAATGATGGATTGAAGCCGAACGATCATACATTTGCAAACACGATCAGTGCCAGTGACTCAAGCATAGGACTCTCTACAAAGGGAAGCAACTACACGGGCTAGCGATGAAGTATGGTTATATGGGTAAAACACCTCTTGCAAATGCACTAGTTACAATGTATGGGCAGCACGAGATGATCAGAGAGAAGCTGAGAAAGTGCCTGTTGAACTGAACGAAAGGTCTTCAGTCTCCTGGTCTGCAATTCTGTCAGTGTTTGTTAAGAATGCCATGCTAAGAAAGCCGTTGCATTATTTTTATATATTATTGAGACTGGTGTGTGGCATCTTCTGTTCTATGATGGATGTTCAGAATGCAATAATTTGCAATCTGGACTTCAAGTCCATGGACTTAGTCATGCTTCTGAAGTAAATACTGGGACGGCTTTAGTAGACCTGTATGCTAAGTTTTTTGAGTTTGAAATTAGTGGAGCTTCTTTAGTTCTGTGATGTCGTGACAGCTAAGAGAGCCCTGGGTCTTAGGAAAAATCAAGCTTTTAACCAAGAAAAAAGGAAAAAACTGTGAGGCCAGGGCAAGATGAAATGGGAATGATATATACTTCAGATTAGCAAACTGCCAAGATACAGTATATACAGCCACAATCACATCAAATATTGCTTGATAGAGACCTCCACCACTCTACCCCTTTTAAAATCTCAGTGACAAGAGCATGAGATAAAATCCTTTCTGTTCACGACAAAAGACGTACTCTTGAGTGCACATTATGAGAGAGAGAACCAAAGTCTTCACCTTCTTTTAAGGAAAAGTTGCACCAGTGGATGTGTGATTTCCACAATCTTCTTCGTCCTTTTTTGTTTAACGAATTTACCATACCGGGCAACACATTGTTTGGGCACATGTTTATGTTGACAATGTGTCCCTTGTCCCCATCCGTCCTTTTCTAGATAAATGCTTCCCGCTGTTGATTCACGCTTCAATTTCTTCTTCGCACTAGATACCACTGTTTTTAACGAGCTATCGGTGCATCCAAACTAACAAAAAGAATATGCGAATTCAGATAATAAGCCGGAGATCATTTCTGGGTTGCTTTCTCTCATTTATTAAGTTGTCAGAAATCTTATCTTTGCATTGATGAAGATAATACTTAATGGCTCAGTATTTGCTTCAGGATTCAGAGTTGAGGACACTAGGAATAACACGAGAATATTCTGCTCCATTTTCCCCCATTTTTTGAGGTACATGTTAAGCATGGGGACGCATGATTAGGCTGATCTGCAAAACATTTTCCCACAAACTTAAAAAAACAATGAATTCTTTCTCATGAGATAGGATTTTAAGAGTTAATAATTGGTTAGGGAGAGATGGCAAGCCATAATTTCACAATTTAGAGAACATCAGCACAGCACTATGTAGCGTGTTGGAGGCGATTACGTCTGAGCAATATCAACAAGTGGGTGCCAACTAAATAAAGATACAATACATTAATGTACAGAACCCAAAACGTTTAATCTCACACTGTAATGACCAATCAATCATTCAAACACATTATATATCCAAATCCAAATCATCATCTCTCTCTCTTTCCATTCTCCGTTTTTTTTTTTTTTTAAAGCTGTAATGCAAGCCCTCTTATAAAACCTTTCAATTAGAAGGGGAAGAGGGGCTCTTCACATACATATATATATATATATATATATATATATATATTCTAAAAATTTGAAATGATAAGATGGATGACGAAGAGCTTAGAAGAAGGATCGTTTGGCAGGAGGTCTTCCAACAGCTCTCATGAGGTTGGCAATCTCAAGGACCCTTGCCACTTTGGTTCCTCTTTTAGCCTCTGCTGATGCCTTCCTCTCCTCTGCTTTCCTGTGGGCTTTTGCTACTTCGTTTTGCATTTTCTCTAACGCTCTTGCTCTTTTCTCCTCCAGCTTCCTCTGCACGGGCAAATTTGTCATCACATTGACCCTTTAATGCAAGTTGGTATTATTAATTAATACTACTAGTTACCACTAAGTTTAGAAATGGAACATTTGCCGAACTTTGTAATTAAGTTCGAGGAAAGTAAGAAATAGATTCGATTATATGCAATTAATGCAGACCCAATACAAGGAACTATACATCATGAAAGGTTGTAATTGTATGAGCAGAAGCAAAAAATGATTGCGGGTATGTTAATGATTCGGCTTTGAACGCCTTCCATGCAGGTAATTCAAATATCCGTGAGGTCGTCACTTCATCTTCAACCAGTCATAGTTTAAGATTTTCAACTTGCGATATAATAGGATCAAGATCAAGTCCTTAATAATTAGTATCCGATACTTGGAATACCCAATGAAAATAGTCAAGGGAAAATAATTTCCTTCTCTTGTTGGGAGGGAAAAAAAAGAGTTCGTTCGATGATCAACGTAGCAATTGTGGAACAGTCATCATTCACCAGAGAAATATGTAACTTTATTTCTGAACTTTTTATCCTTTCGACTTTTTCATGAATCACGAATTGTAATATCAACGATCGATTAATCTACGACGTCTTTAAATATGGAAACCAACATGGTATGTTGTATTCCTCAGAGTAATAATGAACTCGAAGAAGAAGAACCATCATCGCAAAATTCAAAGAATCTAATCATTATCATTAACCCACTACCATATTATCGCGAATTGCTAAACCAACATGCTAAGAACCATGCAGCTGTACGACGCAGAAAAACAAAAATAGGAAGAATCTTAGGGTAGCGTATCAAGAATCTCAAGTATCTTATGGAATACGCACTCGTTTTTCAAATACCGATCAAAAGTGAATTGACAGTAAATCGTACCTCAACTTTCTTCATCCATGAAGTAGCTTTCTGGACCTGCTCGCTTTCCCAACCATTAATTACAGCGTCTTCTCTCTTGAACCTGTTATTGATCTTCGCGACCTTCGCATTTTGCCACGCCGATATCTTCGCCTCCACCTCCTCCTTCTTCACCCTCTGCACCGACACTTCGCCCTGGCCACTTCCGCCGCCCGAGGCACCCGCCGATGACGACGCACCGGCCACTCCTCCCCTCCTCGGCGACGGGAGCGGGTTCAACGGATTGTTATCAGGCACGATCGCCAACGGATTTGTCTCCTCCATCAAATCCTCTTCTCGAATTCTCCCCAAATTGTTGCCTCCTTCATTGTCATGCTCATGCACATCAATAGGGCTGCCATTGTTGGGATCAATACTAGACCCAGCGAGAACCAGAGCACTGAATTCCCTACTCATGCTGGTGAAATTCTCACTGGAAGCTCCTTCCGAGCTGGCCACGGACAGAGACGACGAGGGGCGGCTGTGTGTAGCCAAGGCTTCTCTGCGACGAGCACGATCGGCGGTGTGCGGAGTGTGAGGTGGGCTCAAAGCGTGGATTTCTCTGATTTGCTCCTCATCTTGATCGTCGACGTGGGGGTGATTGTTGGTGGAAGCTGTTTGATGGTTTAACATAGCAGGGTTTTAGAGGCTATGAAGAACAGTGTGTGGAGGATCACGGCCAATAGTGAGTGTGGAAAAGTGGATAATAAGAGACGAACAAGACAAGGGGTTTTTCCTGCAGCATAGTGGCAAGCAGCAGAAGCGTATGTGTTTGTGAATGTTCTTTTTCTTTTGATCGGAACCAGTGGAACCAACGGAGATATAAACCACACGCATTCCAGTGGAGATTTCAGGAAAGCTCCTCTCGCCATAAATTTTTTTTTTATTGCTTTTTCTAGTTATAAAAGATATATATCTTTTATTTATATATTGTTTATTTTCATGCGTCTTGAATGGAATATATCTTATATGTGGTTGTTTTTTGTGATTTTTGCCGTTGTGACTTGTGAGCATTTCGAACTGCCCCCAAACAGACGAACATCTCATTCCTCCGCCCGCCTCTTCCAATGGAAATCCTGCTAACTTCTTTGCTGTTTTGATTTTTTTTCGAACACATAACAATTTCTCTTTATTATTAGGTTTTGTTATCTTATGACTTACAGTTTCAGTATAAACCCCACTCTGTATATTGTTACAGGCAGAAATTTTTATGGGATTGATATCTTTATTTTTTTCAAAAGAAAAGTTTGATTAAAAAAAAATCTTGATTTTTTTGTGATGAAAATAGATGGAACTCCTTCCGCCTGTAACAATGGACAAGGTGGGGTGAGAGGTAATAAAAGCATGCCTAAAATTAATATTATTAACTCTTCCGAGCATATAATATTTCTCGGACATTCTCTGAAAATACTCATGTTAATATATAAATACCAGATTTATAAAAAGAATCTTATTATTTATAATTTGTAAACACTGCGCAAAGCAATCAAAATGAACAAAAAAAAAAAAAGAAATATGAAAGGAGAGAGCGTCAGCTCAGAATGGGCGTGTATGTCTAAAATTTTCGAAATAAGGAGTGCCCTCTGTCCTCCATGCATGAGCAGCGAGCCAGCGACTTCGTTGTGCGACCCCAAAAAAAAAAAAAAACATGTATTTTAGGATAAATTAGAGATAAATCTCTTGTTAAAAATTTAATTGACAATTGAATCTAAAGACTTTATCCAACTTAACTTTTTTTATATGCAATTTATCTTCCCTTGTATGCAATAATATTTTTTTATGTGATATGTAATTTAATTTCTCTTTGTGCAAATAAAATTTTTTTTATGTGCAAATCATCTTTCATATATGCAAACTAACTTTTTATATCCAAATAGTTTTGTATAAACAATCTTCTTTTTGTACAACTTATTTTTCTTTATGTGCAACTAATTTTTCATTGTGCAGTTAATCAACTTAAAGACTATTTGTCAATTTTCCCGTATTTTTACTTTGGGTTAAGGTATAATTTACTCAGGATGAGAGTTATTAAAAGGGAGCAGTACTATCCTTTATTGTTAAAAAATTTAAGAGTCAATATTAATTATTTACCAGTTTTTTGATATTTTAGGATAATATTGATCATACAATTTTTTTGTCTATACACATAGCTTATGACTTATTTAAAATAATTTATAAATAGTTTTTTAATTATAATTTATAGAATACAAGATAATTGTATGAAGAAAATTTCATCTGAATTTATATAGATGTGTTTATAATCATGATCTTTTTTAGTTTCTCCACCGGCGTTGCCACCTCCATTCACGATGGTATGCTTCTTTTATTTGTAAGAGTAAATAAATATATACTTATAAAAAATTATAGAATATTTCTAATGAAATTAATAAATTTGCGTAAATCATGCGTTTTCAAAGGTCTATATAACTAAGAAAAAGTTAGGGGTCATGATACTTTACGCATGTTTATTTAACACGCCGCTGCGTTTTAGGCCCTTGAACCTGTGTGCATTAATTTAATCTGGATTTTATGTCCGTCCCTGACCCTGTCCCTGTTTATGAGGAGGATAGGATATAGTTTCCCCCCCCCCCGTCCTTAAGTTCCAATTTTATTTTTATTAATATAGTTTTAACGCCATTGATGTTTGATCCATGTAATTGTCACTCCTGTCACCTCACGACAATACAGCTCCTTCAAATTATGGAAATGTATATAAGCATTCGTTTCAGCTTTCAAAACAGCCAGAGAAAATGATTTAACTACTATTTAATATTACCTTCAATACTTAATATAATAACTAATTAATTAATTTGACTATATTAAAAAAATAAGTTAAGATAATTATTTGTAAAAAATATGGGGTTTTTTCTTCTAAAATACCTTTATTAATTAAGTGTAATACATAGAATTACTATTATTATAAGGACTTTTAAAAATAAAATAAATTAAAATTTTATATTTAAACCAAAATAAACTATTATACTAAAAATTAGAGATAGTAACTCATTCGTCTCTCTGCTTATCAACAAGTACTGTTCGTTCATTAAACACAGCAGATACTCATGTTTATTTTGATATCTTCATCATTTTAATTATTTAATTTTGGGAACATTGCTTGAATATCAGAGCAAGGCCCTGTTTTATTGAGTTCGTTATAGTACCGCGTCAGGGTCCATATGCAGAAAAATTCAGAGATCACCTGTGCCGAGGGGAAAAAAATGGAGAAATGACAATAAAATACCACTTGAATTTTAAAAAGACAAATAAGGCACCTGAATAAGCAAAATGACAAATAGGGCACTGGGTACCAATCTGGAATTCATATTTTCTGCCAAAAGACCAAAATACCCTGATGAAATGCGGGAAGACAGACGCTGAAAGTGAGAGAAATGAGAGAGGAAGACCAACGCTGATGAAATGCGGGAAGAAAGAAAGAAGAATGTTGGAAATGCTATTATCTTACTCCTTCGCATCACCATTTTGCAGAGATTGTTGATTTTGGTTGTGGGAAAGAGGATTTGTAGTGAGAGAGGGAGTGAACCGAAGCGGAAATCAGAAAACAATGGCAAGCAATTACGTAACATAACTGCTGTCACATGCCTGCTGGTTTTTGGTAAATCCCACTACGTGAATGGTAAATTTCACTATACATGTAGTTAATTATGAAAGTTAATAGTTCAATGTTTATTGTGACGTACTTCAAATGCATGTTCACTGAATGATTTATTTATGCTTATAAGTTGCCTTTCCGGTGAAAACAGGTTTACAAAACCCATTGAAGAAATAGTCACTTTCACTATAAAAGTTGTAAATCCCAGTATATGTTTTGTAAAATTCAACGTGAAATTTTATTGGTTTTTACAAACAAGTTGCCTATCTCTTGAAAACTGGTTGCAAAAGCCATTTAAGAAGTGGTCATTTTCATTATAAAAGTTGTAAATATCACTGTGTGTTTTGTAAAATTCAGCGTGAAATTTTATTGATTTTTAGAAACAAGTTGCTCATCCCCTAAAAAGAGGTTGCAAAACTCATTTAAGAAGTGGTAATTTTCACTACAAAAGTTGTAAATATCACTCTATGTTTTGTAAAATTCAGTATGAAATTTTATTGGTTTTTAGAAACAAGTTACCCATCCCCTGAAAACTGGTTGCAAAAGCCATTTAAGAAGTGGTCATTTTCACTATAAAAGTTGTAAATATCACTGTGTGTTTTGTAAAATTCAGTCTGGAATTTTATTGATTTTTAGAAACAAGTTGCCCATCCCCTGAAAACTGGTTGCAAAAGCCATTTAAGAAGTAGTCATTTTCACTATAGTGGTTGTAAATTTCACTATACATGTAGTTAATTATGAATTTTACAAAATACATATTGTGATTTACAACTTTTGTAGTGAAAGTGACTACTTTGTTAATGGGTTTTGCAACATGTTTTCAAGAGATAAACAACTTGTTTGTAAAAACTAATAAAATTTCACGTTGAATTTTACAAAACATATACTGGGATTTACAACTTTTATAGTGAAAGTGACTACTTTTCAATGGGTTTTGTAAACTTGTTTTCACCGGAAAGACAACTTATAAGCATAAATAAATCATTCAGTGAACGTGCATTTGAAGTACGCCACAATAAACATTGAATTATTAACTTTCATAATTAACTACATGTATAGTGAAATTTACCATTCACGTAGTGGAATTTACCAAAAATCAGCAGGCATATGACAGCAGTCACGTTACGTAATTGCTTGCCATTGTTTTCTGATTTTCGCTTCATCTTTCCCACAGCTTCACATTCTTTGAAAATGGTTTTATGCGAAGAACAGAGACAGAACCAAAATTTTTTAGAGAAATGCTAGGCAATAACATTTTAAGCCGTGGGAACCCATCGAAAATCAGCGTATTCCTCTCTCCTTCCTCTCTTCTTCCCGATTTCATCAGCGTCTTCCTCCTCTCTCCTTCCCGTATTTCATCAGTGTCTTCCTCTCTCCTTCCTCTCACTTTCAGACAGGGCATTTTGGTCTTTTGGCCAAAAATCTGAATTCCAGATTGGTACCCAGTCCCCTATATGTCATTTTGCTTATTCAGGTGCCTTATTTGTCTTTTTGAAATTCAGGTGGTATTTTATTGTCATTTTCCTAAAAAAAATTATGTCGAGAAACTCTTTTATTTTTAATATAAAAATTAGTCGATATTTAGATTTGATTATAAGTATAAATATCTTAATTTATTTTATTTTTTATATTTTCTCAAAACATCTGTTGATTGTAAGGAATTGCTGCCAAGAGATCATTTCAATCATCTCGTGCATATAATTGGATGGAATAATTTAAGAAGGCTAATATGTATCTATCACAAATAACTATCTTAATTAATTTGTTTAATATCCTTATGTTAGCTAGGTAATACTAAATAGCTAACACGCCTTTTGAATAATATAATTGAGAAAGACTAACACACATATATATAACAAATAGTTAATTTAATTAATATTTTTAAATTAACTATATACCTTTCATATTAAAAATAGGAGATAATACTGCTTGGCCAGCAGCACCCTTTGAATAATTTAATTACGCGGAACTGGAGGGCCTAACAGGAAAACTCTCGTTAGATCTTTCTTCCCCCATGTCGGCTGAGAAGAATTCTGAGGACCCCACAGTATTAGGTAGCGCAGATGGATTACACGTGTCGTACGCTAACTGGCGTGCCTAAACAAATCTGCGCACTTGGCAAATCTTCATTCGCAGGGCCCACTGTAGGAAGCTACGTACTATGTCTCATCCTCATCCCCGCGCTGTCGACGTCACACCATTTCCTATTGCGCCACGTGTGCGGTTCCTCCTTCGTTTGCTCATTGGGCTTTCAGCGAGCCCATTTCTCAAACAGCGACGCTGTCTCTTCCCTCCCTAATCCCAAATTTTAAATTCCTTTATTTATGAAAAGAAGTGCGGTGCGATTGGTTAGATATGTTAAATTTTTATGATTAAGAAAGGACTAGAAATGATTTGCGTGTATAGTTGACCATTGGAAGACTAACACGTGGAAATACTCTTGTGTTTTTAATTATGATATATGCTGCTATTAAAAATAAGTGGTGGCTATCTTTTTGATGTAATTGGAGAAGGAAGGGAAACGATAAAGGAGAAAAGTGACAGACTGATCCCACCACATAACAAAACAAATTTAGGTGCAAGACTTCCAATAAACCTTGTGTACTGAATGTGACCCCTTTTGATAGAGTCCTGTTTGGTTGAAGTTGGTCGTGGATTAAATTAAATTAACGTGATAACAACACCTTTTTACTCCAAATCTCATTTGGTTGAATCGCCTTAAATAAATAGCCAGACCGGAACATACCATGTTTATCATTTATCATAAAACTATATTATTTGGAGGTGTTTGATTAGAATCAAAACCATAGTTTTAAAAGTATTTTTTGCAGTATACAAAATAAATATGTAGAAGAGTTTATTTCGATTTACAGAAAAATGATTTCTAAAAACACTTTTCATGATATCTAAACACCCTTTTGGTCATGCATACCAAACAATCTTTCATTCAAAGTAAATCACAAGCATTTTCTCAGATCTTCCATGCAAATGTTAACTGAAGAGTTTATTTTGATTGTAAATGTAAAAGTTTAAATTTATTTTATCTACTGGATTTATAATTTTTTTTAAGTTAATCCCAAAGTAGCTGATCATTCTTTCGGGCCAACAGAGTTTTGATCAACAGAAACAATGATTAAATAGAGTATTTAAGGTTTTTTGATAAAAAAATATTTTAAGTAAATCAAAACTCACTTGCTGCAGATAACGAATTTAATTAATTTTCATATGTGTAAATCAATTATCTACCTCTTAGATTTATCATTTGGTAGGAGTAGATGTCAATGAGCGTGGAGAAAATAATTAAGAAATTAAAATTATGTGGGTGTGTCTGGGGCCATGAGTGACATATTCAGATGAAGTTCCAGGTTTGAAAATAGAGGGGATGAGTCATAGGCGTGCGAGGATTGGTTCGTAAACACGGTACAAACAAAAAAGGGAAGATGGAAATTAGAAAAGGTTCGCTTGAAAGCCCCATTCAATTTGTCTGCTAGTAATGTTACCCACCTCTCCGTGCTCTTGCTCCGCGGTTTGCGAGCCCAACGCGTATCGCACGCTGTTTTTAATTTGTATTCTTCGTCGTTTCCTTTACAGGTCTTGATAATTTAATACTACCTCCAGTATTTAAAATCTTATCAGACTTTTACTTTAATATTAAATATAAAATCTTAATTTATTTTGTTTTTTTATATTTATTTACTTTTTTAAAATAGTTTTTATAATAATAGTAGTTTTAACTAATAAATTTGATTAGCAATGATATTTTAAAAAAAATAATACCTGTTTATTACAAATAATTAACTCAATTTGTTCCTTTAATTTACTTAAATTAGTCAACCATCTCTTATATTTAAAAGTAAAGGTAATACTACTTCAGTACTTCAATTTTAAATATAAGACTTGCTACCTCCGGTCCTAATTATTCTTATAATTAGTACCGAAGGTAGTATTTTACAGTGTAATAAAAGTATCCTCTCGATGAAAAATAAAAATAAAAATTTCGTTATATCAGACAAAGGTATGAGGTCGAAAACTGTGGATGAGGGAAGGTTTTGGGGCCGAAATGGTTGTTCAATTCAGTTCTGCAGCCCGTTCTCAAGCCCAATCAAGCTAGGGTTTTCTTTAACCCGGGACGACGGCGTCAGTAAAGGCCTGGTTTTGGAATTCGCTTTAGCTTGCAAATTTAGTGAATGATTTTTTTTTTGGTGAACAATTTTCTGAATGCTATTTCCGGGTAATTGAATTATTAGCCAAAAACAAAAAAATTCGAATATGATACTACCTCCAGTTCTTAATATAAGATCTTATTTGACTTTTATTCTAACCCTAAATATAAGACCCCAATCCATTTTGTCTTTAATATTTATGTATCTTTTTCCAAGGTAGTCATTCTAATAATAATACTTTTAACTAACACGCTTGATTAGTAAGGATATTTTAGGAAAGACAACACCTATTTATTACAAATACTATCTCCGGTTCTAATTATAAGAACCAGTTGACTAATTTGAAGAGATTAAGGAAAGAATTTAAGTTAGTTATTTGTAATAAATAGGTGTTGTTTTTCCTAAAATATCCTTGCTGATTAAGTGTGCTAACTAGAATTATCATTGTTAGAAGGACTGTCTTGAAAAGAAAATGTATAAATGTGAGAGACAAAATAGATTGAGATCTTATATTTATGATCAGAATAAAAGTTAAACAAGGTTTTATATTAAAGATCAAAGGTAGTAACTAACTTAATTTTAATCTTCTCAAATTAGTCAACTAGCTCTTATAATTAGGACCGGAGGCAGTATTTTAAGTTAAGTTAGTTGTTTATAATAAATAGATGTTGTTTTTCCTAAAATATCCTTACTAGTCAAGTTTATTGGTTTGAACTATCATTGTTAAAGGGACTACTTTGGGAAAAAAATACATAAATATAAGAGACAAAGTAGATTAAGGTCTTATAATTAGGATCAAAATAAAAGTCAAATGAGATCCTATATTAAGAACCGGAGGTAGTGTAAGAGTTCATTTGACTTTTATTTTGGTCATAAACATAATACTCCAATTCACTTTGCCTCTCATATTTATCTATTATTTCCTTAGACAATTCTTATAATAGTGATAGTTATAGTCAATATACTTGATTACCAGGGTTATTTTAGAAAAAAACAACACTTATTTGTTACAAATAACAAACCTAATTAGTTTTGTCAATCTACTCAAATTAATCAACTAATTCTTATATTAAGAATAGGAGGTAGTGTTATGATTTTTGTTGCTTGTTATACCCCCTCCAGTTTAAACCTCGATAACGGTGTTTCACAATTTAATCATCAACCCTTGGGATTTAGATCTGTTTGTTTTTATTCTTTTGATCTCGTTTAATGTCGTTAATTGGAAGATATTTTAGAAGCACATTTGCATGAGTTTGAAACAACAACCTGCGGCTGACACAACGGTAAAAAAAAAATCATTAAATTATCATCACCTTGAGCAATTCTATCTGCATGGATAAATCCTTTCAATTTACCATTCTTGTTATACCAGTAGTACTAGACTGCTAGTATTTCGTGAAACCCAAAAAAAAAGAAAAGAAAAAAAAGAAGAGATTACTGGTAAAGACAAGAAGGTTCGATAGACGCTCCAAGGCCATGGGAAAGCAGTCATCGCACTTCAATCGGCATGGTTTTGCAAGGCCCTTTCCATATCTATACTTACTGATTAGTTTTTTTTTTTTTTTGGGGAGGGGTTTAAACCTATATTTTTTGAACCTATATTTCATATTTGAATTCCGATTCTTCAGTGATAAAATTGGAGCTTGAGATGAAAAATTCACTGTTAATTAACTGTCGCCAGCCTTTCTTAACGAGATTTGTTTTGGTTTTGAATTATAAACTAAATCTTATACTCCTCCGGTCCTTATTATAAGACCCAATTTGACTTTTTATTTGGTCCTAATTATAAGACCCAATCCATTTTGTCTCTTATATTTATGTATTTTTTTCCAAGATAATCCTTCTAATAATGATAGTTTTAGCCAATATACTTAATTAGCAAGGATATTTCAGGAATGACAACACTTATTTATTATAAATAACCAACTTAACTTACTTCCTTAATCTCCTCAAATAAGTCAATTGGGTCTTATAATTAGGACCGGAGGAGTATTAAAAATAAAAAGTATTCGCAAGCTTCCATCATTATCAGCTCGTATTTCACAAATAACGAGTCTCACCGTCATGGATGAAATTAAATAGTGAATCCTGTTATTATTGCATTCCCAACCTTCTCAATCGAATGCCAGCTATCAATAATTGAAAGAAATTTTCGGCTTGTTAAACATATTTTGACAAACAAAATTACTTTCTTTATAACATAAATACAATCGTAAATGTTATATTATATGTGAACATATGTATCGCTAATTATTTTAAAGAAAAGTAAATTAAAAATATACTACTACCTCCCAACTTATTTATGAGAAATAAAGTTATATTATAATGGGAATTTTTCAGTGAAAAAATATGATCAGAAAGAGTCATGGCCATTCTTTCAAAAAAAAAAAGGCCTCAGAAAAAATGAAGCAGGTAGGCGGAGGGTTTCGCAACGCATGAGAAAAATGAAAGCCGGTCTTCCGATTCGTGAATCAAACGGCGCCAAAAAGCCATCTTCCTTCATTCCTCTTTCTGTTGGCGCCTACGAGTATGAAAATCCTCCCCCCCCATTTTCTCGTAACTTCCATCATCTTTCTATCATTTCTCTTCATTCGCAGTGTGCTTTTCTTTGACTGCTCATCACAAATTCAACGCTCTACTTTGAGAAGAGCGAAGCTGAACTCCAAACACCACCACCACCCCAACAAAACTACAAAGCAGAACTAGCCTTGCTCTTTCTGCCAAACAACTTGCTGCGTTTCAACAAGGTATACCAGAAACATTGATCGCAATCTTCCAAATGCTCTGGCTTTTCAGCCGCCACCGTTCTGTTCAGATTTTATGGATTCTGTGCTTTTCGTCTCGTTTTCTTATTTTTCTTGCATTCCCTGGCTGAGTTTTTACGTTGGTTTTTGGGTTTTTTTGAAGCTCGGTTCTTATTCCGGACTTTTTTCATTTGTATCTTTAAAGTTGTCCTCGAAAGAAGCATACCGCTTTGGATCAGAGATATATTGAGTGAAAATTGGGTTTGGCCAATTCTGGACGCCTATTTCTCTGGATTTTCATTGTTTTGCGGTCATCTACTTGTTGATGGATTCTGATATTGTCTCCGCATTAAAACCTTGTTCGGTTTGTTGTATTTCTTGTGGAAGCCACGGCCTGTCCTGTCTTCTGATACAATTAAATGTATTGCAGATCCAAATTCATTTCTGTCTTAGCGATTTGGTCAGGTTAAAATCCAGAGAGCACGCTCAGATTTCTCCATGGTAAGACCTGCAGAATGCCGTTAGATCGTGATATTCATTTCTCGATCAAACGAATCTTGCTTTGATGAATCTAATCTCTTTAACCGTGATCGTTAGGGTAAAGCTCCGGCATTGTTCGTTGATGACACGCTGAGCGGACATCCTAATGCCTTTGATCTCGAAAATGGTACTCGCAGAACAAAAACTATAGTTGGCGATAGAACGGTACGTCATCTCTTACCGTTGTTCTGCTGATTCATCTATACCAACATATCATCTGCTTAAATGAAAACTCCGGTCTCCGTTTGTTCAACAGTACGTCATTCGTGAAGCTGAGGATGAGAGTTTGTGCATTGAAGTTCAAATTTTTGACCCAAGTCTTAGAGAATGGTTAGTTCAAGGTTTCTTCTCTTCGAATGGCCGGTTCTGTCTGGCTTTTGTCGCCAATTTCTATATCAATGTGCAGGGTTTATCCCACTATTCTGGGCACCAAACCTGTGTCATCTCAAGGCCATTCAGCTGTGCTTTTGAAAGACCGAATACTGATTATTAAAAGGGGTTCTGAGCCAGACGATCACACTTGGTTTCTAGAGGTTGGCGTTTTACAACTTAAATATAGTCATTAATCACTATTCATTCGTGCGAATTCTTAGGCAATATTATATTACTGTAATAGGCGAATGGGTAATGATTATAATATTTTTTAATTATTTCTATAATGTTTGCAGGTAGACACCCAATATGTTCGGCAGCAGAGAGAAATTCTGAAGACTGAGGTGGTTGCGTGGAGTAAAGGTGTGATAGGCAATCCCCCAAAACCTGTCGTTATTACTGGTCCTTCTGGAGTGGGAAAGGGAACATTGATATCAATGCTCGTGAAGGAATTCCCATCCATGTTCGGTTTTTCGGTGAGCCACACCACGCGGCCCCCAAGAGGCATGGAGAAAGACGGGGTCCATTACCACTTTACTGAAAAGAGTGCGATGGAGAAAGCGATCAAAGATGGCAAGTTTCTTGAGTTTGCTTCTGTTCACGGCAATCTCTATGGGACCAGTGTTGAGGCTGTTGAACTCGTGGCAGATTCAGGAAAAGTACGTTCCTTGTGCTTCAGTGAATGTTGTATTACATTTAATTGCAAATTTTGGCATAGTGGGCATTCAGCCAGTCTGACTCAACAATCTGACCGAATCAATTTTTATGAAGAAGCCTCAATGGAATGGCTTTCTCTTCCGAACCAATCAGGGTTTCTTGAGTAATCAAGTGTTAATTGAGCTTCTCTTGGTAACTGACTGATTTATAGAGACATACTGCATACTCAATGTAATGACAGCATTTTTTACTTTCTGACAAAAAATTGAATGCCCTTTCAGAAGCGCAGCTAGATCTCATGTTGTATTGCCTCTGTAACCTTGGACATTAAATCTAAATGAAAGCTAACCATATCATTATCATTGCAACCCGATGAATGCCTTCTTCACAGATATGGTTTTGGATATTTTAAACCTGAAATGATGGTATATTATTTTTCCTTTTGATTCAGAGATGTATTCTTGATATTGATGTTCAAGGGGCAAGATCCGTGAGGGCTAGTTCCCTTGAGGCCATATTCATCTTTATTTGTCCCCCGTCGATGGAAGACTTGCAGAAACGCCTTCGTGACAGGTAAATCTCATAACTAAAGTCTTGTTAATTTTCCCTATCATTCGGAGTGTCGGTCTAAACCTCAGTGTTTCGCTTCTGTGCAGGGGAACAGAGACAGAAGAACAGATCGTGAAGCGACTACGAAATGCTGAGGCAGAGATTGAGCAAGGAAGGTCAACGGGTCTATTTGATTTCTTCTTGTATAATGGCAATCTTGGGGAGTGTTATGGGAAACTTAAGGTAACTCGGCCGGTCCCTACAGTCATGTTTAGAAACTCAGAGAGCTTTTTTGAAATTCAAATTATCCTGATCATAATATCCATTTGTCCAGAAACTATTGGGACTAGATGCCTCTCTCTCTGCTCAGTCAAAGCCAGGTAACAGTTCGTTGAAGTACATCGACCTGATTTTAGCTTTACCTTTACAATATCATTATACCAGCAGATAAATTCGTGTGTTTAATCTGTCAACTCAGCACCCGGAGAAATAAATCTACCGACAAATCATTCGGTGACAAATTTTGACGACAAAATCATCATAAACTCCCTTTGTACAGGGCGAGAAAAGGAACCAAAGAGGTTGTAAGGATTGTGTAGCGAATTACCTATTTAGCCACCAAAAGTGAGATTCTCTGTACTGATGTGACTGGAATACTTGGCTGAGCAGGATCATGTTAGATGTTTCCTCACTCAAGGGAGGTGCACCTGGACGCACGAGGGGGCTAAGTTTCCGTGTTATAGACCCGCATTCAGGTGGTTTGAGTGGAAGGGATCAGCTGAGCTAACATTTGACGAACCTGACCCTGTTCTCACTACCTTGGTTCCTTCCTTCATATATTAATTTGATTTGATTCAACGGGACGCATGATAAGGCTCTGGAGTCGGTCCAATTTGTTTCTTTCTTTTTTAGTAACGACCCGTCATTGTTTAGGCCACGGACCTGAATGCGGGCACATTTATTATTTTTCCTACATGGGCAGCGACGGACGATTTGTTATTTGCGACTATTGGTGTATTGTTATTGGCGATGATGGCGTAATACGAGTGTAATGTGTGGATTCGTACATGTATATTTTACCTGGTGAGGTGAATAAGCGAAGAATTGAAAAATCCATGTAAAAAAAGAAAATCACATTTTCCTTTTTCTTCCTTTGTTTAGTTCTTTCTTATATTTAGAAGCTCTGTTCAGATCGGGATGTGCGTCGGTGACGTCGACGTTGGTGATTATTAGGAGGAAGATGGTTGGTTTGAGGGTAGAAGGGGGTCTCCTGCAGACTGGGGAGAGAATGGAGGAATGATGAACAGAAAGAGGAAGAATATGAGAGTACTTAGATGCGCACCCCGCAAGTGCTACGGCACCTTCCATTTGATGGAACTTATTTAACGGTATTGACCTCTGAAATTTATTTAGGAATTAAGACATATACGTTTGAAATTTAAGGATTTATTTTAAATAAAAAATAATATTAAGGCTACGATAAAATTTTGAATATGTTTCCGACAATATTTAAATAAATATGTCAGTTTCCACCCATTAAATTAAAAAAACATAAATTCTAATAAGACAGGATCGACCCCGGATAAGGCTGGAAATATTTCCGGTAGGCCCATTTTCAGCGTGATTGAAACGATTACGGAAAGAATGATGGAGCTGGCAAAGGCGGTTCATGCAGTTATCAGTTTGGGAATGCAAAAGGAAGAAGTCAGGGGATACTGACCAATGAGGGGTTGCCAGGTGTTGGATCAGGTGGGGCCCAAACTCCCCATTCTTAGGGATGTCTCCACGTACTTGCTTCTGCCATTGCCACCCAATTTCAGGGACCCAAGAAAGGGCAAGTGGGAAAAGGGCCTCCCATGGCCTTCTCCTCCATGGTGGGTTCCCCTCTCACATGGCAGTGAATACTCATGACAGTGATACAAGCCACTGCTGTGCCCAGATGGAATTTGAGTTCGCTTTCTTCCTCTGGCCCCATTCCTATTTTGCTCTTGACAGAACTGTCAACCTAATTTTCCTATTTCTACATTAATAATGGTTTTCACATTAAAAACTGTCAACAAAGTACTTCTTTACATGTGTAGATAAAACTCATCAACGTTACTTCTAGCATCCTGCCTTGCTCTTTATCGTGGGATCTTCACATCAGTCAACTATTAGTTTATTATTTACCCTGTCCATTCCACGAAGAGATTAAACTACTCTTAATACAGTCCCCTACAACTTATTTGTAAAAACGCCAGCACCTCACAAGGTTTCAAGACGATGAAGATCTGAGGGCAGAAAGCCAAGCCAAGAATGACTTCCCGCGACAATAACCATATAACATACAAAGTTGGCATGATCCTATCTCCTCAGTCGGGTCAATGTCTACCTCGCGATCCTTCATGTGAATGCCTGCCTCCCTATCTTTGCCCCTTTAAGATTATTATGATGGGAAAATAATTATGAAGTCCAAAAGAAAGAATGTAATCACCAAAAATTTCCACAATAGGATTTTTTGGTGATTACATTCCTTTCTTAGAATTTCATAGTGATTTTTCCTATTATGATACACCTCAAGTACAAGCCTTCCAAGAACACTAACATCAAGACCTCATAACTGTTGGAGAAGAACCTTGAGACCCCATGAAAGGTTCGTTTCATTATTTAATGCTCAGGGCCCTGCAAGCACCAGAGAAATCCTTTCGGCTTCCTCTATCACTTGAGAGAGGTTGATAACCAGACAGCTCAGATCCCTGAATGTGCGAGTAATAATTGCTGCCATTAGACCTGGAGTGCACGTCTGATTGGGGGGAATTGAAGATTTCTCGGGAACCAGAATTTGAGTCAGCAATGGCAGACAAATTGGGAGATGTGCCTTTGGGGTCTGAACTAATAGTTTCCTGGTTCTTGTTTGCTGTATTTGCAGCAGGACCATCAGCCTTCTTTGTTGTCAGAAAACGGCCTCCACACCCTCTTGCTCGTCTCAAGGCATGCAAATGTCGAGACTCATGAAGATAAGGCTGCAGATTAAGATAAAATGGTCATGCACCAAATTGCGAGCTAGAATCCTGAATATGCTTGTTGCAGTAGTAAAGGTCTTGGGATTTCCCTTCAATATGCTTACTGACAAAGAATTTCATGCCATTTGATAAAAGTGGAGTGCCTGTTGCATGTACATACAAGGTGGACAGCCAAGCATTGTAATTTTGGGCTTGGAAGAATGGACATCTTCTAAATATTAAATTCAAATGCCGCAAAACAAGTGACTGACGCAACAATTATGGCAACCAGTCCAACATTACAGCAGAGACTGCCTTGAATCTCTAGTCGGAGTAGTGGAAGAAATTCAGAAGAAAAATGCCCAACCGGATGTCCACAAAGTTGAAGGTGACTATTCAAAGCTTGGAGTTTATCAAAACACACAGGCTCAAACATAAAGCAGCGGATGAACTTTGAAAGCAGCCAATTCAAAGGAGTTCATATTGTTAATAATAAGAATAGACATAAAGATCATGAAGCTGATAATACCAAACAGAATGTTATCATACTTACTCGTGTACATGACTTCTGTTTCATATTAACTTGGTAAAGTAAAACGCCACAGTAACTTGATTATGAGTTTATTACTACTAAGAGAAGGAACTTGGTTAAAAGAGGGTGCTTCCGATTAAGAAATGCTCCCAGTTCAGTAAGAAGTGTCTAAAAGTTGGTTCCACCAGTTAATAAGCTTGTTATAAAGAGGTAACTCTACAAGTTAAACAGAGGTGTCCCTACTAGTTGCAGCTCTCTTATAGCAATTCTTTTGTGAGCTTATTGTGTTAGATTGACCAAGTTATGCGTATCAAGTGCAGTGCAGCAGTGGAGTGTGGAGAAAAGAAAGATACATAATTAGCAATCGAGATCACATCAAATATTTCTGGAAACGGAATAGTACCTTTCTCGCTTTTATCACCTTCTTTTCAAGCTCAGCCTTGGCACGGGATTGCCTACGCCTCAAAATTCCATGGTATTGCTTGGCATTAACATAAACAGGTTCTTCTTCCATTTGCAATGGTAAAACCATTCTAGAGGAATTCACTCCAAGACCAGCAGGATGTAACTAGTACCGCCAGAAACGAACATGAGTCATAATTCTCCAGAGAAACAGATAAAATAAAGCCATGACAACATTTATGAGAAAACGGTCCGTATCATGCTTTTAAACAAATTGATTTCCAATTAAGATTGCACTCAACAAAGCATTGCATCATATAAAATTCAAATTGCTGCTTTCAGGAATAAAAATCGTGTTAATCATCATATAAAGGTCAGGATAACATGCATGCATGTTGCATATTACTACTTGTAGCTAGTATAACGTGCACGGAAATGAACATGAGTAGGAGTAGCAGTAGCAGACAATTAATGAACTATTTGACATGCACAATAACAAGTATGAAATAACAAATAAGAGGCCACATATTTCATACCAAAGGCTGAAGTCCAAAAGTAGGAATTGCTCCCCTATGCTGTGGATCTGGATAAGGGTAAGATGCGCATGCCTGCAAAAATATGAAATTCAGACTTTCTAGAACATTACGTTGCAATAACTATAATTAAGACTCCAATTTCCAACATAATAAAGAAAACCCGTAAAAACTAAATTCTAAGTCTGGTTTTTTATATGGCCTTCAGAACTTGAAACTGAGGAATTTCCATATCAGAGTTTGCTATGGCTGTAGTATGAGCTAAAACATATCAAACTAATTCCAATAGAAGGAAATTCAAATCTGAGCACTGTGTGTTGCGCGTGTTGTGAGAGAGAGAGAGAGCTCACTGTTGAATGGCCAACAAGCTCCGGCTGTCTAGGTGGCGCAAGAAATTCATTTACTGTAGAAGGCATAGTACGGACAGCAAATTGCTGCTGTTGATGCTCTTGATACTTTTCTCTACCTGCTAGTGCAAACAATGTCTTTAGGAGGAAATGTATTCCCAATCTATGCGTAGCACCTTTAAAACAAATGGATTCACATTCCTAGAGACAAAAACAGAACAATATGCCTATGAGGAGATCCCCGGAAGTCAAAGGAGGAAAACATCACAAGTGAAAAAAAGCCATCCAATTAAGTCAATTAGAAGTTGCAAATGGATAGGCAAGATACGTACCAGAATGGTTCAAATAAATCTCTGCTTAGATGGTGCATAATGCTTAATTTTCAAGGATAATTCCTTTTCTTGGAAGCTCTTATGGAACAGGAGAGTTTTTGTGGCTTCTCTTTGGTGCTCTTCCCATGGTTTATTTAATAGAGGCTCCCTACCAAATGCAGGTGGTACTCGTAGCTCTTCTGCATCGGTGACTCTCCTGACTTTCACTATTTTCTTCCTTATTTTTGTTGTTTAAGAGGATAGCCTAGTCCTCTCTTTTCTTTATACTAAAATTTCTCACAGAAAAAAAAAAACACAAATAAACAGAGGATAATGAATGAGTTGGCTACTCTAATTAACTTGAGTTTGAACACGCAAGCTATTGTAAACCTCAGTGAAGTAAGTAAATATGGAACCTACAGCACAAAACTCTAACGCTCAAAATGTCATTTATGAAGAACGCATGCAAAAGATTTCGAATGCAATTTCATCTGTAGCACGAAACAGAAGAATAAATATATTCATGATCAATATTTTGGGCAGCATTTGATTGATTTGCTTTACCTAAAAGCATGTGTATGTCTAACCTAAAACTGATCCTAATACAAGTAACTGAGCAAAGAAGGTAAAATGACTTTTGATTTGCACCTATCAGGCACCAACAGATTTGTTATTTAGGATGTCATATTAGCACTTAGTAAAAAGAGAATCAAGGGAACAGGAGGAAGTGCCTTTCTCTTTGGTGGCTTCCTTCCCTTCAGCCAGCAAAGTCATAGCGTGTGAAGTACTGGTCGGGTTCCCAAAACTACCATCCCAATGCGGCACAAAAGAATTCATTTTGACTTGCCCTGCCATCTCTTTAGAGAAGGCACCGTGCCCTGTGCCATGCCACCAAGCTTGAGAACAGGTCGTATATAGTTTGTTGCTCCATAGATCTGATTCATAACGGTTTGCAGGGTCCAATTTTTGTCTCATGCTTCAGTATAAATCAATTTTCTGCTCAACTGTGGAGGCAGAAACAATGATCAGCATACAGAGACTCCTCGCATGTAAAGGCAAATAAAACATACCAGACTTGGCGATCACCACAGATGCAATAAACCACTAATTTATATTACTTAAAATAGAAAATTTTCATGTAGTACTTCAATTTCCCGTGGCAAAATCTATTTTAATTTGAAGAATAATTGACAAGTGACACGCCCGAAAAGCTAACTTCTTTTTTCCTTAACAAACACAACGACCTGGACACTAGCTATAAATCAGGGATTTATAGTAAAAATTTAACCAAAAATTGGCGCCCCAAGAAGTTTAGTCTTGTCGCTCGATAGGAAGAAACTGATTCGATCCAATAATTATTGTCGAAAGCAGCGCACGTAAATCAACTCAATTATTGTCGAAAGCAAGCCAATTAATGCACTCGAGATGAAACAAATATGAGAAAACTTTGTTTCTTAGCTTCCGCCATCCACGTCTTCATAAAGTCCACTAAGAATCATGCATGCATGCACATGCCATAATTAGAAAGTGGGGATCACCATTATGAATTACTCGTTGTCCTGAATCTTTATAAAATCCAGGTTAACCGGAAAGGGAAATACACGCACCCGCGCGCACCATAATATTGAACGTGAAGTGAGTAATAAATCAGAGCCCATCAAGATCATATCTATAACATATGCAGCTTAATTTATCAGGCAAAGCAAATTCAGCAAACCAAATTACTTGAAAGCAAACCCAAGTCATTAGGATCATTTGCGATCTTGCTACATGACAACGCAATCCATCCAATTAATTAATTGAAAAACCAACACGCAGGGGAAGAAACACATGGCCAAAAAGCAAAAGAAGGTGTTACAAATATCGAGAAATCAATCAATCACTCGCAGAGAGCAAGAGAAAACATAAAAACACACAGGAGCTTACTGTGATATGTGTGAGTGAAGCGTTGATACTCTAATTACGGCATGATGCAATAATTTGCGGAGAATGAGGACCGAGATTCAATGATATAGAGAAAGGGACGCTCTGTAGCACTGTAGCAAGCAGACACCAGAATGGGGAGTATAGAGGATGAGGAAATAATGAATCTCTTTTATCATTATTACTATTATTGTTATGGTTTTTTCGGTGGGGATGGTGAGTGGGGAAATGACCAGAATGCCATGGAATGTGCGTGGGAAATCACAGGATCTCAATAGTTAAGGAAGGTGACAATGGTAAAAGGCGGAGACAGGTGCCCCCAGGCCAAAACAGAAACAGTTGGAAGAAAAAGAAGAGTGAGAGGGCACGGATCTCGTGATGGGGACGGGCACAGCCACGTGTGTGGAGACAAACGCCTGAATGGTAGGAAGCCCTTCACGTGTCCCTCCCGATAACTCACCTCCCCCCACCCACACTCATCCGCGCTTCTTTATCTGAAAATGATTTTATTTAATATTGATTTTTTTAATCAATGACACCATGATTCAGCGACGGGCGATCAATTCTGACTTAATTAATTCGTCATGTTCATCTCGTCGCTTTCTGTATTTCTTATTTGGATTGTATTGGATTCTCCCTTTTTCTTTTCGGCGTGCAATATGCTTACTTTAGCACTTCTAGAGTGGACTGAGCAGAAATAATTAAGTGGCCAGTAAAAATAAGTTAAAACATTGTCCACAAGAGTAAAATCAACAGGTTCATGATGTGAACCCCTTTTTTTTTGGTAAAAAAAAATATTTCTAATTTTCTATTCTTCTTTTTTAATTAGATTTCGGTAAATTTTTCAACCAGATTACTATGATTACACCAAATTTTTAATAGGTTCCTCGTAGATTTTTTTTTTCTTTTAAGCAGTCACTTAAAACTATGAAAATCTGATTAAAAAATCAGATTAGAAATCAGATGAAATAATAAGATCTAATAAAAAACTACATGAATTTAATTAAAAATTAAGTTAAAGTATAAGGAGTGCAAATTAATTTTGAAAAAAAACATAATTGGGATTTGGAGCGATCCGGTTCCTTCCCCATTACGTTACCGACCTCTCTTGCCCACTCCCCACCGACCAATAGTCTTGGACTCTTAATTACACGAAATTAGCCAACCAAAAAATAGAAAATCACAGAATTACAGGGTGGGCTTCATTCATAGTTTTCCTCCCATTATAACAGTTTTCTTTTCGGAACTTATTTATTAACTTATGGTTGGAACCACAGATTTTTTTTTTTATTACCAAAGTTGGAACCACAGATATGGATAACACATTTTATGCTTATATTTGCTTAATTTTTCTTTATCTATATATCAACAAAAATATAACTTGATTTACAAAAGGTTCTGAATTAAAAATATTCATTTTTAAACAGATGAATTTTACAAAATATGTACTACTACTCTGGTACTTGATCTATGATGTAATTAATTTTTGATCAAATATTAGTTAAATTAATTAATATGATGCTCCTCTGGTTCTAAATATAAGGCATATTTTGTAATGTAATTTACATTACAAACTAAGTCTTATATTTAGAACAAGTGAAAACACTACAAAATAGGTCTTATATTTAAAATTAACGGAATATGTATTTTTTTAACATTCTAAATATATTTCTTAATTTTCTTTCTCCATCTCCTACTTGATTATTGTTGGGAGACTATCCATAGGATTGATTTGAAAAAAATTAATAAATTTATATATAGAATTAATATCAGCTCTTCAATTAACTCCCACGTGAGAGTAGTAACATCTTGGCAAAATTACAATTAGGTCCCATCTAAAGGAATTAAATACAAAAAGGTCTCTTAAAATCATGAAATTATTTTGAAGTCCCAATGAATCTTTTCTGCAATAAATTTTATTTGTTTAATTACTAAATCACTCTTTTTTTTTAAGTTTGCATTGACAACTAAGAGAGCATTGATTGACAACTTAAGATGCAAGGATTAATAACTATTGTAGCTGGTTTAACAATACATTTTCTTAGCATATCACAAAATGTAACGCATGAGTTGTCAAACCAGCCGTGACAATCATTACACCCTAAATTGTCAACCACTACTCTTTCAGTTGCAATGCAAACTTAAAAAAAAAAAGATAATTTAGTAATTAAACAAATAAAATTTATTACAAAAAAGTCTCTTCAGACTTCAGAATAATTTTATGATTTCAAGAAAACTTTTTATATTTAATTCCCTTAAATGGGACCTAATTATAATTCTCCCTAATGTCTTCCTTGGTACAAAACTCGCAGAATACGCAATACTGGCCGGGAACACACATCACGTGGAAAGACATGATCCAATTGTTTTACACTAGATATTTGTGATGTTTTTTACACTTTTGTTATGAAGCGTTCCAATTAACATAATAATATACATAATTAAATAAAAATTGCATACTTATCAAACTATTATTATCGAATGCTTATCTATTTATCCTTGTCAACCTTGTCAAGTTGATCTCCGTTATATGTCTTTTTTTTTTTATTTATCGGCAAAGCATATATCCTTCGATTAGATATAATCATATTTGAGACACTATCGATCCTAAATATATCTAAATCTCTTAATACAGATTTGAATATTAATCTGTATTTTTGAGGAATTAGTTCTTCCCACCAAGCCCATTCCAATTAGTTTTTTTATACCTAACTTGAACTGATTGATTGTCATTTGCGTGATGACATTAATACTGTTCCACTGAAAGGCCCATTTAAAACATAACTTAGCATCCACACGACTATAGGCCGTTAGGCCTGCCTAATTAACCACCTCCCATTATATTATCGTCCCATTTTTTTATTTTCATTCAGTGGCTTGATGCGGTATTCGAATTTCAAAGCCATATTTCATTTTAACAATTTTTAAATTGATTAGTATTCATCAAATGGTGGCAGAGCCCCCTCTAGAAATGCACATGTGAAGGCGAGTTTTTGGAATTTAAAGAGGAACAGTGAAACCTTCTTGATTTAATTAAGAATAATAAATCAGAAATCTATAAAGAAATAATTTTTTTTTATGTCGCCGACACCAAAATTCCTTGTTTTCTCTAGGGAAGTTCAATAAATAGTAAAGGAATTAAAATTTTCACGAGGAAACGGAGATTCCCCTTACGTGCGTCCATGGAATAAAATTCTTTGAGAGAAAAAATAAAGAGCAGCTTCATCGGATTCTCCTCATCCATGTGCTTTTGTTGTCAATCCCTTCATGTGTGTTTCCTTTTGCAGGACACTTTCAATCTCATCCTTAAAATAATTAAACCTTACATGCATGTATTATTCTCCATCCCTAATAACGTACAAATCATCCATCCTTGGATTCTCATACTTGATGACTGTACTTTTTTGGATTTCTATTCCTTTTGGGGTAGCGTAAAAGATAAGAGTGACAATGATAACCACACTTCCTTCTTAACCTTTCATATTGATGTTTGTTAGGTGATGTAACTTTAATCCTGTAAAGTGGTCTGGGCTCTTCTGATTAGTACTTGAAGAATGTATCAGTAGGGTATGGCGGGATCGATTGGAAGATGAGAAAGAAGAAGACAGCTTTGCAGGTTTAAAGATTAGTGTGTCGATGACAAAAAGGAAGAAAGCAATATTAGGGATTAAAGTTGCAGAAGGAATATTCAAAAGCTTGATCGTTCAAAAAGTTCCTTCCTTTTCTAGTTTCATAATTCCCTCTGCTTCTACGAAAAAAGTCCGTTTGATTTGGCTTCATTTTGAATACCACTTTAACCTTTTGAGGAACATGTGAGTTATATCATACTGATCATGAGTTATAGTCAATTAATCACCTAACCAGTGCAGATTATTATGTTGGTTTTGCTGTATACTTTTCTTTGACATCCGAAATGGTCAAATTAATTAATTATATAATAAAACCTTCATATTTATCCTAATCAAAGCTTCACTATCGGCAACACGTACAGCACCGGCAAACAAGAGAAATTAAAACGAATAGAAATCAAACAGTTAGAGAGCTTGCACCTGATTATGAGGGTAAATACATATTTCTTCACTCTTCAATAATTACTGGACTGCAAATTAAAGTACCTATAGTCATAAACACAGTAAACTAAACTGCACTGAGCTGAACTGAACTGAACTTTAACAGTCTATGTGGGGTAGATCACAGCTCAGGCCGATACATTTCTAAGAGAAGAAAAGAATAACTCTATATCAGGGGTAGAGAAAAACGCTATTGGGGATCTAATAGATGAGAAGTTTTGGATTACCCTTGTCTTCTTCGGAGCAGGTGGGCATGATAATATCTCTGGTATTTTGAACCTCTCAGCCTTTGGAGTACAACATCCACTTGAACATATATCTTCTTCTTTATCGTTTTCCTCCTCTTTCTTCATATTCTGATCACCAGCGACCAGTTCATGGGTCTTTGAAGGAGTTGCGTACCCAGAAGAAGGCCTCGTCGTCACAACTGATTCTTGCTTCTTCTTCCTCCTCTTGGTCGTCGTCTTCTTCATCTTTCTCTGATCAACTTTCTGCCATTTATTATCGATGATCTGAGCCTTTGCAGAAGATGGCGCCATCTTAATGCAGAGATTAGTTATGGCGAAAATCTTTGTTGGCAGCGAAATATTCTGATTGATTCTGAGGCATCAGAGAATTTTCATGCCGAGGGAGTTTGAAAAGTTCTTCTACGTCACACGTAAATCCAAAAAAGAAAACACTAATACATCAGTAACTGCTACCACTAGCTTGAAAAATATCAAATTTTATACTGAGATCTCTCTACCAAATCCTTATAAGAAAGAAACCCCTTTTAAGAGTCCCTCTCTATGCTTACATGAGAGCTCGCCTTTTTGCTCCAGGTCGTATTATAAGCTTTACCCTACTAACTGAATAGATTATATATAAAGCGACAATATGTGGAAAAGGAGATCGAGGGAGGGGTGAGGGAGTGAGAGAGAGAGAGAGAGAGAGAAGCTAAAGTTATATATAAAGCAACAATGGAGGGGAGCTGAGGGGGAGACAGAGAGAAAAGACGAGCTTTCCTTTTACAAGTGTAGCCTTTTCAGGTGGAAGATCAAATCAGGAGAAGAGAGATAAGTTTTTGTTTAGGTTAATGTATGTATTAATAATACGTCAATATGTATATTAAAAAGTGTGGAGCATCGTATTTTAATAATATCTGCTGATGATAACATGGTGGAGATTAATAAATCCCGCAGCCCATTAACTAATAGATTGGCAATAGAGTGATTACCACTGTTTTTAACAGAATCATTGTTAATATATACTACTATAGAAAATAGAAATGATTTGATTCATCACTATAATTGACCTGAAAAAATATATTAATTATGATGCAATTATGGCTGTCGGAAAATATTTTTAATGTAAGGTTTTAGTTGGTCAAAACGATGATATTCATTCGGCAAATTAAAGTAGGGACCCTTTGGCAGCCCGCAATTGTCTATATTCGGCCATGATAGATAACCATATCTTAAAGGTTGAAACTTGTGATCTTCGTTGCATCACCCAAATTAAAAGTACACTAATTATAATCTAAATTGCGTTTACCTAATACATTCTTAAATGAAGGGGAAGTTACCTAATTGATGTACCATCTTATCTCTGTGTGTATGGATATGTTTCTCCCAATCACGTGCCATTCGTGTGCTGCTTGATTAAATCATCGTGGGTTGGGGGCAGTTGTTCTTAATAGGCCAAAATAATACTAGGCCAAGAAATTTGCATATATGACCACGCAGTCCCGTGATTTTTAAAATGTCCGTTCGCCCCCCGCTTTTATTTCTTAGTTTTCATTTTGCCCATTTTGGTCAACGTTCGCCCACTTTAGTTGTTAGAACGAAACAAAGCAGCATCTGGGCCTCAGGTTCCAAGAAGGCATTTCATTTGGGCCTCTAGTTTCGAGCAAGTATTTCGCTTGGGCTCGTAGAAACAGAAAATAGTTTTGGACCAAAAAAAAGTGGGGAAAAAACGAAAGAAGAAACAAAACTCAAAAAGCACGCCCACCGTGGGGCTCGAACCCACGACCACAAGGTTAAGAGCCTTGCGCTCTACCGACTGAGCTAGACGGGCTTGCGACTTTTAGTATAATTTATCTATTCTTATTACCACCCCAACGGACTACGTAATTCACCAGTAATGAGATGTGATTCGTTTCTCATATTTTATAATATACGGATCTCACTTGATTCATCATCTCAGTTGGATTTGCTTTACAACAATTCTGCAAAATCTGATTCTTCGTGGGTAAACAGTTCAGCCTCGGATTTCCTTTTGATTTTAAAATCTTTTTTCAACATGAAAAATAAAAATCCTCAGCGCTTTTCTTGGTCCAAAAGGCAGAATCTGTCACTGTACCAGCCACTAGAAATTGCATCCACATGATATCTGGTCAGCAGTAAATAAAAACTTGAGTATTTTCTTTTTTTTTTTTGTGGAAAAACATCTGTTATCCTTACAGGAAACCGCCACCACACCACGAATCAATCCAGAAATATCAATGCATGTTGCATAAATGAATCTGAAACATAAGGTTGAACAATGATCAGAAGCCTAGTACCTCAATGTCCACCAGATTGAACAATGAAACTTTCTATTTAGCCTACGTTGACCAGGAAATAACAATAAGGAATACACGTAACTAGAATACAACAAATCTTTGAACGTTATGTGCTCGAATGGAGAGATTTAGCTTCAAACAAAACCTGAAAAGACATCGTGGTGTTCACAGTTCAGTTCACAGTCACCGCCCCATATAAAGCGAAGGCCAGAGACCAAAAATAATGGGCATGGCCATTTCCATTTCTCATCTAATGTTAGTCCTAAACCTACTATACACATTGAATAAAAGGGGAAATGAGGGACGAAAACAACAGTGAATGGGCATAGATTCTAACAAGTTCAGCAGGCATTCACACTACCGATTCTGAATCATACTTTTTAAGTATCATCATCTTCTAGCAATGGCCTCTGGACAGCAAAAGGAGGTGGTGGAAGATCAACATTCAATATACCATCTAGCACTCTTGCCACCTCCCCCATTGAAGGCCTCCTCCGTTCGTCCATTTGAAGACACCAGAATATTATTCTCAACGCACGTTCTAGCTCCTCTGAATCGATTTCACCATCAATTCTTTTATCAACCACATTGATGGATCGTCCTTCTATCCATTGTTCATGTGCCCACCGGCAAAGATCCCCAGTGTCTTGACGCCCAGATAACAGAGTTAATGCCAGCTTGCCAAAATCCTCCACATCTTTCTCAGCTGAAGAACCACAATATGATGCCTCACCATCTGCTCTTGCAAACCCAAATTCAGTTACCTTGGCCTCCAAGTTTCATCCAGTAAGACATTTGCACACTTCAGATTGCCATGGCTAAGAAACTCCCGACACTCGGTGTGCAAATAGCAAATGGATTTGGCTACACTTGAGCATATTTGAAGTCTCTTTTTCCAAGTTAGCCTCCTGCAAAGAGCTGAATCACCAAAGAACTTATCCAAAGAACCATTCTTGACATACTCGTACACCAAGAATCTGTGATTGAACTCACAACAGTAGCCCTCCAGCTTCACTAGGTTCTTGTGATGGATGCTTCCTATTTTTGTAACTGCGCTCCTGAACCTCCTTTCTTCTATGCTGGCATTCAGATTCTTAACTGCAACCAAGTGATTGTCTTGCAGTGTACCCTTGAACATATTTGGACCGATTTGGTTCTTGAAATCCCCAGTGAGGCTCCTTATCTCTGGAAGGACAACACAAACAAACCCTTCGAAACGGGGCATGTTAAAGCTAAAGTAACTTCTTTCCTAGTGATGTTTCTTCTTCTGCAGATCCAGAAACCAATTCCCAACTGTATGATGGCAAAGACGAAAAAAGTGGCAGAGGCTGCTCCAATCAAACAAGGAACACAAAGTGCTGGAGGCTGTTTGGGAGGAGGTGAATTAACAAGACCAGGATTCACAGCTAATGGACCTGAACATCTCTTAACAAAAGATACCGAGGTTAGAGATGGATCTGCAAAACCAGTGACATACTTAGTTTTCTTTATTGAGCATTGAGCACTCCCATCATTCAAAAAGGTTGCAACTGTACATTGTGGATCATTCAAACACAACTGCTTGCAATGCTGCAAACTACTTATGGTGATTGAATCTTCAGGTGGGTAAATTCCATATAGAAATGTTTTCTCATATGTAAGCATATTGATGCCAGATTCACATGCCTCATCGTATGGAACCAAACATTTGTTAGGGTCAGCTAACTCAAACGGGCATCGGCAATCAGCAGAACCTGAAGCACTTAAAAAACACATACCACGTTGACCACAAGTTGCAAAAACCTTGCACTGATTCTCAACAGCCTGCCATACTGATTTCCATGATTGTAACGTGTCTATCCATGAATATATGCGCAGATTGCCATCCAAATCAAGCCTAAGAAACCTGTAATTCACTGATTCATTGTGGTCTTCACCAAATACTGACCAAACAGGTTTTGAACTTTGGTCTTGAAGTTGCAGGGCTCCAGAGGTTGTGAGACAAGCACTCAGATTTGCGATAGAAGGGCTATCATCACTTGTCCAATAGGTAATATTACTTTCCCATCGAAGATGTAACTGTCCCGAGCCATTCAAGTAAAGACTGTAGTAACTAGATGTGGTTTGCTTGCTGGCAGCTCGAAGTGTTTGATGCACAGATAAACTCTGCCCTGGGACTAGTGTATCAGATGGAGTATCAAAACTCTGCCAAACAACACGTTGCTCTCTGTCTATGAGCTCAAGATTGCCATTGTCACGGAAGGCTGCTGAAACTACAGATTGGTTGGCAGTTCCACTGGTCCATACTACTCCCTGTAATGAATCAAAGAGGACTAATTCCCCTTCGGGGGTGAGTTGGAAATACGACATGCTACCCACAGTGACATGAGCTCCAGCAACCCAGACCACAGTTTGTTGGCTAAATGGCATAGACTTTGAATTGAAACGTATGCCAATCCTGAACTGACTAGGTTGATCTGAAGTGTTAAAGAATCCTAATGCAAAATCACCATTGGAGGAGGCCCAGCTGTCATTGTCAACCACAGAAAGTTTTGAACCCAATGGAATTTCAGAAGTGAATGCTGAACGTAGCAAGAGGCCAGCGAAGATGCAACAAGAATGGCGATCTAATCAGACACAACTCCGGTTCAACCATATCTAGATATGCTCAGGGAAGCAGCGCTTGTGAAATGGTGATGAGAAAGGTATCCCCTAACGTGTCATTCACCCGTATAAGTTCAGACCTTGATAACTATAACACCTGCAAAGGGATAAGGTAAATGCAGATGTTATTATCAAGCCCGAGTGTGGTTTAGTGGTGCAATGGTAAGAACTCAGACACAATTTTGGATTCAGGAGAACAAATATGACGGATTTGATATAGATTTTCAAAATGACCAATGGGAAAGAGATATACAAGATCTGTGGACTGAACTGAAACAGCAACTTGATTCAAGAACACAGAACCTAATGACATTAGAGAACGATTATGCTATTCATGAGCCATGCTAAAGATGACTGTGAATTGAAAATTAGAGAAATAACAGCAGACTTATGATCAACTTATGCTATTTCAAACTAATTAGACATTTTGCAAAGTGATCTTTGCAATTATCTTGAAGGACAGTGAGACGGAGATTCTCAAGCAGAAGATCTTTTTCTTTCGTTTAAAAAAGGCAGAGATGAAATTGATTGCCATTCAAAATCAACTTTGAGCAGTAAGGGGGCCCAAATAAATTACCCAGTGACAATGAGGAGCAAAATTTGAGACTGCAATCATCCTTCAGTGTTCAAGTGCCAAGACAGTGATATATTATCAGCAGAGCAGCCTGAATTCCGCAGATTAATTTCAATAAAAAGAAGAGTAAAAGAGATACCAAGAAAACAATGGAAAGGATGAACCGACAAAGCCGATTTTCAACAGGGAATACTTTGAATGGGCACGAAATTACAGAAAGCTGAAAAAATATAGCTTACCATTTCTGAGTATGAGAGAAAGATCTGAACAGATCAACGACGAAGGGAAGCTGACCCTCATAACAGACGAATTTTGAGCTTCGACGCACCAAAGCTCAAGGTCCATCCCTGCGGAAATTTTCTTTTTTCTCTGGGGAAAGTTTTCTGGCACCTAACTATTCTACAAAGGGAGCGAGCTAGAGAGAGGGACTTTCACAGAGAAAAGTGAAAACTGTGCCTTTTATTCAGCTGACTGCATGGAAAGTAGTGAATGGGGATAAAAGGAAGGAAAAGGGGAGGCTGCTGAAGACGGTGGATGCTAATGGGTTTAGATTTGGAGTAGAAATGTAAGAGTGAGAATACAACGGGAATAAAGATATATAGGAGCAAATGGGGTTAGGGAGCTAGGGAGTTAGCCGGAAATACAGACATAGAGGGAGAGTCGCCGGAGAAGATGAAGTGGTCGAGAAGAAAGAGGGCGTTGAAAACATCAGAATGTGAGGCAGCCCCTACCCAGAGAACGAAAGCGAACAAGTGGATTTTACTGGAATTCTCCTTTGAACATGCTGCTAGTAACATAGTATCTGCTACCGTGACGAGCGTGCATATATTTTTCAAAAAATACAAAAAAATTAGTATCGAAAGCAAGCAATGACTATTTCAATTTACCCAATAGAATGAAATAACAAAAATATCTCATGATAATGTAGTGAAATTTAAGCAGGCAAAAAAAAAAAAAAAGGTTTTATTTTTGTATTTGAGTGTGGAGTGGGGACGATGGAGGATCTGAGGGCGGGATCGGTCTCGGAGAACGCAGGAGCAACATGTGACCCCTAATGCCTTATTTTTTTGTCTCTTTGTGGTCACTTTCTTCAACTTGCTTTGTCCTGTTTTTCTCCTTTAAAAACAAAAATAAAAGAAAGTGTGACTTGTTTTTAATTTTCCCATTTGCCACACAAATTAACAGCACATAAAACCAAAATCTTCATGATGAAAATGCATGAACATGAGTAATACAGTTTCCTCTCGCAACCAATATTCTTCCTTTAACGTGAAGCCACATCTGGCAGTCAAAGAATCTGATTATGAACCGCGCATCTTCCCTTCTTTCGTTAGCCCTCTGGTCTCTTTCTTCAATAATTCCAATCTGTGATTACAATTATGACTGTTAATATGAAATAAGATTTTCAGAGCATTGGTGAGTTATTTATTGATATCAAATCAAATCACCAATACAGAATGCAATTGTAATTTGACATTCTTTCACTGGCAAGTCTAAAATTGCCCACTGGTTAATTTTTAATTCAGCGGAAGACATACCTCTCTGAGATGGGGGGTTTTTTTTTTTTTTTAAAGATCTTTATGATCTTGGAAAAAACCTCATGACATGGGCTGGCTGAGAAAAGGAATGATGAAAGCTATAATTATTGGATTTGAATTTGGATTGAATAAGAATAAAGTGAATGATCAATACAACTTGGGGTTGGGAGGGGGCAATATGGAAACAAAGGCTTGCAGGAGGTGAGTGGAGGAACAGTGGTTTGGAAGTCAAAAGGTTGAATGATTAAAGAAAAGGAAAAGGTAGGCTTTAAAAAAAAGGCAGAAAATTGGATAATATTGAAAGGTGAAAGATTCTGCCTTTTTTTTGACTAAAAAAATAATAAAAACAAAAGTCCCAACTTTTTGATGAAAAGAATACAAATTAAATATTTCGAATCATACGTGGGCTGCATGCAACTCTAAATAAAGCGCCCTTCCCCACCTCCGCCCATTATGAACCCCTCCGTCCATAAACCAATTCGAAACCGCGAATATTCTGCAAAACGCTGCGTTTCAGACCAAAAGCAATGGAACGCAACCGTAAAATTATTTCCCCAAAAAAAAAAAGTCTTATCCTCCGATGCTGACCATCACCGTGCTAAAAATCACAGAACTCCCATATTTAATATAAAAATTAAATGATTAATTTAAATATATTAAGAAAATTAATTAAATTAGTTATTTATAATAAATAAGTGTTATCTTCTCTGAAATATCATTACTAATTATATATATTAGTTAAAATTACTATTTGATAAACGTATAATTATTATAAAATTTGTCTCGGAGGAAAATAAATATCACTTGTAGTGCTTTTCTCTGACTGGAACTTGGGAGGCAACAACGAACAACGTAACGGGCCCCCGGTTTAACCATTCTCACGCTTTCATTTGTTCAACAACTCCCCGTGATTCACTCATCTCCCTACGTGCGTTGAAATGTGAGTTTGCTTTCTTTGGTCATATTTATAAAATACATTTTAACCAAATTACATAAATTTTGAAGAAAACAGGTTATTAAAATTATTCGATGGTCTTTGTGTTTTTTCCCTCAGAACTCATCACAAAGCCATCTTTCGGATTACATTTAAACAAAGTCGTTAAACAGTGTTGAAGCTCTTTCTCCTCTTCTGCACATGAACTCAACCATCCAGGGCCTGTTTGAGTTATTATCACTTTCACATAAACAAAGATAAAAGTATTCACCCATACTTTACTTGAACCACGATTCTAAACAAGTCCCGGTCAACTGCTCAAGGAAAAGAAGAAAAATGAGCAGCCAGTATTATACGTGATATATGTACAGTAGAGGCTGCGGCTTTTTGACTTCACGGCATCATTGAGAAGTAAGATTCTACACGAACACTTTGTTAAAAGGCTATGCTTTACCTTCATCCGGCCTTTTGAATTATATGAAGCCACCCTGTACTCCTGGACCATTCTCACGAGAATCCAAAGAGAGTTAGTGCAAAACTACTCCTTGGTCCCACAACAATAATCCCGCTCCTTTTTTTTTTTTTTTACCAGCCCCAATCATGTGACTTTAAACTACGTTGATTTTGATTTTGCCCATACCTCTCTGTCCATCGCGCTTTTATTTTACTCAGCACTTACTGTATAACGGATACGGCTAGTGTTGTCCCACAAAAGAATTTCAAGTTGTATTTTTGGCCTGACAAAAGTTTTGGAAATATTCCCCACATTTCAACCAGCTCCTGAAAGGCGTTAATGATTTTGTCTTTTAAGGTAGAACAAAGATATTCCTAAGTCGTATTAGACTTGAAACTAATTCCTTTCAAACCTATAATGGTTAAGGAATATCCCTTCCAATAAGTGTGTTAATGATTTTGTTTTTGTCTTCCAAGGTACCGCTCTTTTATTCTTGTGTCCTGCAATGTCTCTCCTCTTCATAAAGTTCCCGATACATCACTCTCATAGTAGTCCATGACTTTGAGGTTTCATAATTTTGGTGCATCTTTGATTCCTTTTCTATGGGTCTCACTCTCAGCATGCTCGCCGCCTCGTACGCGCACTTGTTTCCTTCTCTCTCTTCTTTTATAAGAGGTGAAGAAGAGATGTTTGTCTGCGTCTCTCTCGGTTATGCGCAAGATCTGTTGTTTGTTTAAACAAATGGGCCTCAGGCCCAAAATATATGAGGCCCGTGGATATTGGATTAGGTGTGGCTTACTTCTCGTTCTATAGCGCAGTTCGTAGCCCCCGCAATCCAGCCCATTCCTCGGTTGAGTTCTGAGTCCTTCTTTTTTTTGTGCACAAGGTTGAGTGCTGTGAAGTTGCATGCAAGTGATCTGGAATGACACTTATGCCCTCTGACGGAGTGATGCGGGATGAGGATGGAGTTTGCATAATCATCTCCTAATTATAGGATGGAGTTTTAACACTCTATTTTATTTTATCCATAATCATCTCCTAGTTAATTTTTTTCCCAACATTATCCCTTCTTAATTGGTATGTCTTTAATTTCTAAATATAATTTATTATCTGATCATTAATTTCAATGAGGATTAAAATTGAAAAGTTCTTTTTAAAAAAAACTTGAATATATTAAATACACCCACTTAAAAATGGTAAAATTAAACAAATCTTAAAATAGTGCGATCGTATTTTGAAATAAATGAAAAAAGAAATTACTAATTAAGATTAGAAGGTAGAGTTTTTTCAACGAGGAATCAAACAAATTTTATACAACTATTAAGAGTAGCCGTCGATGCAACCAGATCAGGACAGCTGTCAATTAGAGAGTAGAATGGGTCCCACGACGATAGCCCGAAAATGGGACCCAGAGGAGCCGCCCTGTTTTCCACGTCGCATTCCAAT